TCTCCAGCTCGGTGGGGGTGACGGAGTCGGTTTCGGTCGGGGCAGGAAGTGGAGGAGGCTTATTCGAGTCAACACCCATTGTGGTGCGATGCTCGAAGGCCTCGGCGACGGAGAGGCTGTTGATGCGCGGGCGCGGATGACGAGTGCCTCGATCAGCGGCTCACACCTCTATTTTGGATCTCGTCCTTTCCCTCGATCAAGGAAAGAAGGAGAAGAGAAGAGAAGAGAAGAGGTGAGGTGAGGTGAGGTGAGGTGAGGTGAGGAGAGGAGAGGAGAGGAGAGGAGAGGAGACGGTGGGTGGATTTGCCGGCTGCCGTCCAAGGTGGGCAAGGATTTGTTGTGGGTGCAGTCGCCGTCAAGACATGAGGAGCAGTTCGTTGCTGCGGGAGGAGAAAAAAACTGGGCGGGCTGGGCGAAACAAGCTGTATCCGTACGAGCTTTCACACCTGGCTGCGAGACACTGGGCGAGAGCGCGCGCGCGAGAGAGAGAGAGAGAGAGAAAGCCGTTGCGGTTCGGCGATGTTTGCGAAGGCAGCGAACGGAATATCCCCCAAAGAAGGAAGAAAAACACAGAGAGACAGACCTGTGGCCGCTTATGCCACACACGCAATGCGCAAATGGGACCGAAAAAGAAGAAGAAAAAAAAAAAGCAACGATGTTAGTTGGACATTCCGGATTAACGTCGAAGGGACAGCTGAATGGCGAGAAGGAGCTCAGATTTGGAGGGCGCAAAGGAGGGAAGGCCAAGTGGTGAGAGAGTGGTGGAGGGGTGAGGCGAAGGTGTGAGGTTCGCAAACTGGGGTGGCTGGGGGGGGGGGTCAGGCCGTTGCTTGGGTGTTGTTTTTTTCCCCGGCGATGTTTTTGCCCCAGTTTGCGGATCTTTCTTGGGAGCTGAACAAGAGAGGCAGGTAAGCTTCCAGGGGTCTACCGACTTGTCTTTGGCCTTAATTTCTATCCGTGTGTGGCGCCGTCGTCGTCTTTTTTGTCTTTCACCAAGTCCCGACGCTTTTGGCGTTCGCAGAGGAGAAACAAGTACCGGCGAAACGGAACGAAACAAAGGTGTGTTGGTTCGAGGCAAGGTACGAGTAGTGAATGATATCGGGTGCCAGCGAAAAGAATATTATCGAAAGCAGTGTCGAATATAGCAAACGGGCGGGATCGATAATAGCTGAGCAAAGGTAAGAGGGCAGCAGGTAAGGTATCTTGAGCTTAGAAAGAGACAAGCCGGGGGGAGGGGGGGTAAGCAGATAGAGGCGACAGGCGATGGACAGGCGACAATCTTGGATGATGCAGGCAGGCCGAGTAGACTGACAGACATCCTGGAAAGATGCACACACAGAGAAGCACACAAGTGACAACAGACAGGCACACAGGCCAGCCCAAACGGACAGGGAAGTGCGGTCGAGAGGGGGGAACGCTTCGTCGGGCTCTGCTGTGGACTTGGGATGTGCCTGGGATGTCCTTCCCGTCCAAGCTGACCTCAATGACCTGCTGCACCTGTTGTGTTAATCAGATACAAGCAGATCACATCATTTGTTGGTGGAAAACTGATGTATACAAGTAGTACCGAGGATGACGGCAACGTGAGCGCGGGAGCGGCTGGGCTGGGCCGGGTTTTGGGTCTTTGGGCTGGGAAGACTGGACAAGGGACGGCAACAGCTAACACAACCTATCCGTACGGAGTTACTTAAGGTACCTACGGAGCAGACTTGCTAGGTCTTATTGGAGGCCGGCGCAGCAACGAGCACCAGCAGATGACAAGCAGGGCGCAAAGTCGCCAGATGAGCGGTGCGACCAAGCAACCCAAAGTGCCAACCCGCTCCGCATACACATACACACACACACACACACACACACACACACACACACTCTCACACACACACACACACACACACACACAGCACACAGCACACATACCTACCCTCACTCGTCTCAACCGCCACGATAAATCCACGGATCTCTGGGAGTTGACGTGAGAGTCGAGAGAAAGCATCAAACCCGAGGAAAAAGACAAAAGATTGGTCCATTCACCCAAGTGTGATGCCGCGACAGGGTGGAGATGGTTGATGAGTTGTTCCTCGCTCGCTTCCCGAAAGGAGCTTAAGAGGCACCAGAGGCATGCCGCGACGGGCCAATTGCCGCCGCAGGCCTGGGGCGTGTGGGAAATCGGGTCCCTGCAGGCCTGCAGAGCGTCCTGCACGCTTCTCAACTTCTCAAGTTGTTCGAGGTAACCCAAGGTGCCTTACATCCTCCCATACCTCCTCCTTCACAGTACTCGTTGAGTGAAGGTAACGAGCTGAGTGTGTCAAGTCTGTTACCGTTGCCCTCATGTGCAGTCCTTCTCAGGGTAGTTGTTGCAACGGGCCTGGAACCACTCAGCGGGATAGAATGCACCACACATCTTTGGGCCCCCATGTCACGTCTACTCGGTACGGCCAAGGTACTCTTTTAGCTGTTTGAACTCGGTCAAACGCAGCATTGTTAGAGGTCCGATTCCTCACCGCCGTTAGGTCGTCCCGCGCAGCCGTTTGCTCAGCGTTGGAACCTTGACCCTGCGTCTCCAAAACGGTTCTTAGGTACTCTGGCCAGTGGCCGTTGTCTTTGTCGATTACCTACGGAGTATCTGTACTGGTACGGGTATCTCGATATGATACCCATTCACTATGTTCAGATATCCATCATAAGGTACCGGGGTTGCTTCGATATCTCGATGCCTTTCCCATAACCTTGTCTATCGCTCCGAAACACTCTCAACCCCCAGTCACTCTCCCAGCCCCTCGACCAATATAGAAAGATAATCACACAATCGTTCATTACCACAAAGAACCGCAACTTTGCCCTCTTTCTCTTCAATGTACCCGTATCCCTTCCGTACGAAACAAGGTTGACCAAGCATTTCTTCCCCCTCTCCCCCCCCCTCTCTTCGTCTTCCTCCGATCATTTTCGCAAAATGCAATTTAGACGCCAGACGCCATCGGGACGGGCTTTTCCCACTTTCTGTCACCTCGTCCACTTTTTGCTCAAACGGGATCCCCTGGAAACCGGGCCCCCACAGCAAAAAGAAAAAAAAAGAGGTGGAACTTCCGTGGGTTGGCTCGGGCGTTGTGGGCGTCTCCCAATGATGTTTCCTTAACGGATAGAGCCAAGTGGATTCAACCACTTCTTTTTTGGCTGGGCGACGGGAGGATACCGATCATCCACTAGACAAGGGTATATCATCGTTCAGGGCGCCACGAGAGAAATAGCCTCTCGAGGGAAACCGAAAATAAAATTGACACGGGGAACCTTGCCGGACCGTGAGTGACACCTTTGACAGCACCTTTCGATCTGACTATTCATTTGTATTCGTACGAACATGAAGGAGTTGATGGACTTGGATAGTAAAACGTCTGAAACATTTCTGCCCGTCTATTGCGGACGGCGCCGTCTTGTGAACCGGGCAACGACTGAGACTTTCCTATCAGGCTGCCTCTGCCCTCTGGGACCTTTTCACTTTGAGCCCAAGCTCGAGCTCCTTGTTCCAACATCGAATGACGTTCGTACGTCATCTCACAAGAACAAGCCGCGGCCCTCCCCTCCCCAGAAACACACGGACGCTGCTGCCACACGGGGACACGATATTTCAGCTATCCGATGTGCCGATTCCCATCCCTCTCATCACTGCCTCACTGCCTCACTGCCTCAGTATAAAAAGTTGAGTATGCAGATAAGTACAGTAGTTGAAACAGCAGAGTACGGATAAATCGCCACTGCAACTAAGCGAAACGGTGAACCAAAGAAACCCGTACTTCACACTCCCCGTCTACTTCGACCCCCGAGCCCTCGAAGCAAACAAAATAGTCCGATTTGTCCACGTACCCCAAACCACCCAAGCAGCCGACGGTGGCGAAAGCGCAACAATCCACCTCGAACGGGGGCTTAGGGGACGATCCAGACTCGATGAACCTCCTTCTCTCTCCGTCTGGGGTCGGCGGCTCATGCCGGTCATCCCGCTTCTTTCCCCCGACCTCGCCCGTTTGAAAGGTAAGTTGGCACGTTGGGTGACATACGTGCTTTAGATAGGTTCAAGCCGAGGATATAGCCCACTGCATCTCTAGATTCTCGGGGCTCTCACGACTCTGATTACCTACTGCGAGGCATGGAACTGCATCGCTGCCCCCATCTCTGCAGTTGTCCCGCAAGTGAACTGGACGGGAAATCCACCAAAGCAGTCTGTCGTACATGTACGGATACTCACTCATCTTACCGTACGTACGGATAGTTGACCTACGCTCTCACTTCCGCGACGTCCCAAATGGGGGAGCATCACCTTCCGTTTGTTGCCGCCTCACCGTGACCCGTGAACTAAATGCCACCCGAACCCGTTGCCCTCAAGGACACATTGAGTGATTTCTTCCGTATCTACTCATGTAAAGCAATTTAAGCTTCCTGATTTGTCATCAACCATGGACGCTTAACTACCGTCCTCTCGCTTCCATCCCTGTGTTTCGCCCCTCCATTCTCGCCCGTACCCGACCATCAACGCAACATCAAATGGCAGGCCGTAGATCGAACCTGCTGTGCAACATGTGAACGCCGCCCCCCCCCCTGGCGGGTGATTGCAGCCGTTGTGTACCGGAGGCGTGATTCTCTGGTTTGAAAACCCGGTGGATTAGAATAATGAAGAAAGCAGGAAAACATCATCAAAGTCAAAATAAAATGTAGTTTCAGGTATCAATCATGTGAATTCCCAATAATGTAGGCTAAGTGTACTTTTGCGACGAGGATCCTCCGCTCTGTGGTATCTTCTGCCTCGTTCGCAATCAAGTAGGAAAATGCCTCGAAAACCATGCGTTTCGTATCCTTTTGTTTGGACCGTGATGCTCTATCGTGAACCTGTACATAGGAAAAGAAGCATGCAATGCAATTCTCTTTCCATCAATTCTGCTCTGGAAGCAGCTCCCATCCCGTCCCATTTCTCCTCCTATCCCCATCGTTGCTCATACGCAAACGATGCCTTTCTACCTCCTCATGTGCTTCGCACTCTTGTTGGGACGCACCGCGTACAGCTGTGCCGCCGCCTCCTCCGTCTCAGCGTTATCCAACAGCTCCGCAACAGTAGGGTTGTCGTTGAAGTGCGTGGGCAAACCGCCTCCGAGAATCGTCTTCGTCGCCTCAACGCGCGCCATGAGAGACCACGAGTCGATGAGGACGACTGTAGACCCAAGGCGAAGCTTCTCGCGGTATCCAAACGCGCGGTTCTCCTCGTCGTCGTCGCCCCTGCGGCCAGCGCCAGGATCGGCTTTGGTGCCGCCCGTGTGCGGGTTAAAGGCCGGACGGCTCGCGCTGGAGTAGCCAGGTCCCTTGCCGTGTTCGAGAGACGACACGATGCTGGCGAATTGCTTGCGCAGGTGTCTTCTGTCTCTGCGCGCCGTTTGCTTGACCGAGGGCTTGGATGCCTCGGCCATGAGGGCGATGAGCTTCTTGGGGTCGTATTGCAGGTTCATCGGCTCGCCCGTCTCCTCCTCGTGATCGCGCGCCGCTTCGAAGATGAAGGCGATGTTGAAGCCGGCGCTCGCTTGGACCTCGACGTCGGTGCTGTCGAGCTGCTCTACGAAGGCTTCGATGGCGGAGTAGACGTTTTCGGTGATGTCGTCTACTTGGCTGGCGACAAAGGCCCAGGCCTCGAGGGCGGAGGTGACGACGTCGCCGCTGTCTGCTGCGCCGACGGCCTCGCCGTCGCTTTCGACGATGGTGACTAGGTATTCGAGGAGCTCGCTTGCTGACTCTTCGCCTCCGCCGCCGTACATTGTTGTGACTGCCATGGCCCAGATCGCGGCTGCCTTGACGTCGTTGTCGTCGTCGTCTTCGAGGGTCTTCTCGAGTTGCGGGTAGATGTCGTCGAACAGGGAGTCTGATGGCGTTGTGAGAAGCGTAGCTGAGAGAGACTTCAAGGACGTGAGGCGCTCGAGGGAGCTGCCTCCGGACCTGGTGTTTTTCATCAACGCCGTGACGATGTCGTCCAGGGAGTTGCTGACTTGGCGGCCGCCGTAGTGGTGTTTCACAAGGTGCAGGTAGGATATCAATGTGGCCTCGCGCCTCTGGGTATTTGTCCGCTTGCGATCTTGCAGTTCGACGATGCGATCCTGTAGTAGTTGTGCCCAGTTGGGTTCCGTTGCCTCGTCCAAAGCGGTGTCTGAGTGATTTGACAGGGTGCTCATGGTCATGCCGTCGTCGTAGTCGGAGTCGCTGCCTTCGTCTTCTGAGGCATAGCGACTACCGGCGCGCGAATGTGCCGGGGAGTTGATCTGAGAGTGGCCAGGCGAGACGTTGGGTGAGTTTCTCATGGAGGCGCGAGCGGACTCGGGGCGTGATTTGGCCTTCTTGGAGACGGTCTTGCCGCTCTCACGAAGAACCTTGAGTCTGAGGTCGTGCATGGTGACTGACGGTGTAAGAAAGGCTTTGTGTGTAAGAGTGGTGTGTAGAGCAGAGAGAGAGAGAGAGTGTGTGTGTGTGTGTGTGAGAGAGAGAGTTGGTTGCTTGCTGTGAGCGGAACTTCTCGTGGGAGAAGACCTGTATATGTAGGGGTTGCCTGATTTGTGATTATCAGGGTCTAGGACCTTCTGTGCTTGTAGCGCGGTGGCGTTTCTTTGAAGATGGTGTTGCTTCTAATTGTGTTCTGTGTCTTGCTCCAACAATCCATGGGTGGTATTCGGCCTCTATATATAGGTCTGGGAGAAAATCCGGAGATAGGTCGAGACGCAAAGGTGAATATGTTGAGGTTCTGGAGATAGGTCTAGAGCCGCACAGGTTGGTGATTGTCCAGCGGCTCGGCGAGGATTTGAGAGGGTTTCAAGGCAAGGTCCTTGGAAACCGCGGGAACTGGAAACTGAAAGATGGACTTTGTGAGTCACTAGACCGTCTTTTCAGATGTGAGGAGAAGCTTGGGGATTTAAATTAGGGCAACGGTGGATGGAAAAAAAAAAAAAGTTTGCGGAGGGTCGGAGAAGAGTAGTGAAGGTGGTGGGTGGTAGCAATAGAAGAAAGAGGGTGGCATTCACATTTCATTAGAGGGAACCCTTGATTCACCTATGATGCCTGTCGGGTGTTGCACAGGGATTGCAGAAAAGAGCGAGCGAGCGTTGTGGATGACGAATGACGAAAGAGACTTTTCAATCGTGTGTAGGGCGAGACACGCAGCTGGATGCAAGGTTGAGCTCGGGGACAAAGCAGGAGGAGACAGACAGACAGGAACGGCGGCAGCAGCAGCAGCAAAACATCCGGCAAACAAAAATCCAGACATCAGGCTGCATTTTGCCCCTCCATTTCTCACATCAGTCAACTTTCTGTCACTCCACACGCCCGAGGTCAAGGACTCCAGGATGATGTCTTCCTGTGGGGGCAAAGTGGGCGTGGTCTGTCCGCTCGCGCATTCCTGGGAGATACCCCTGTAAGCAGATCATCCCGCCGTCCTTGGTTGCGTACGGAGTCACGGAGTGTGGTCCTCCACTCACTCTTGAACTTCTGCCCGCCAAACCGTAGTGTTCCGCATCCGAGGGAGAAGAGAATCCATGGATGAATGTATGTTATCTTAGGTAAGGAGGTATTGGAGAAAATGGGGCCACTCGGGATGGGAAACAGACACAGGCGAATGTGAATCCAGGCGGCATCATCTGACCGTTTCCAAGTCTAGACACTCGCGGGCGGCGCCAGTGAATCCCCCCCAATCCCTGGTCTCTCTTCATCCGCCGCCTAACCAGATTCGCCAGGATCTCAGCTCGTCCCTATGTACCTGATGGCTTTTGTTAGAGATGGGGGCATGAACGGCACCAGTGACAGTTTCCGGCAACTCAGGGCACCCGGTGACAGGTGAGCAGATGCAGCCCGATCTGGCCCTATGGTCAGACATTATTTCAACAAGGCAGGACAAACTGCTGTCATGCACTCCTAGTTATGATGGCCAGTAGGCCTCAGGCGAAGCACGACGGTATCGTCCGCCTCAGGCAAACATGGAGCAAAGCACCTTGACACCTTGAGGTCTGCTTTCTGAGGCCAAAAAAAGATATACAGGGTTAGGTTGATTCGGCAGAGAAGGTAGACAGATACCTTGGGATTTATTCAAAGCATAACAGAAAGAGAGCGTATTTGCGCATATTGGGCTCGGCGACGTGGACAGTAGCAGCTGCTCCGCTTACCTTCATACCCAATTTCGAGGATCATCTTTCAGAAGCTGGCATGGCTTTTCTCAGGCGAGGTGTTCAACCGTGTTGATGAGAAAGCCATGAAAGTCACAAGCGTGAATAGCTACTTACTTACACCAGAGAGTGGGCCTTTCTCAATATCGGCACAACCTTGTTAATAAACCAAACCTTGGCCCTTGGGGCACGCTCTGGGTGGTCTCTCTTCATAGCGAGAGGCCACTTGTGACTGTTGTAGATGTATTCAGAGGTAGGCTCCGACTCCTGCGACAGCTAGGTACACCGACTGCGATGCTTCCCACTCCTCTCTATCTTGAGAACTTGAGGCAAGGCAAGGTATGTACATCTGCTACCTTAACCCCGCTGGCCTCCTTCACATTCCAGCTGTCAGGTGCCATGTGGTGAGGTCTGAGGTCTGAGGTGTGTGGTGCCCCTCTTTCCTAATCCCGTCATCACTAAATTGGAACGCCCCGAGCCTGATCTCAGACACGCACTGTGCCTCTCGTCTCTGGCGGACCATTCGAGGCAACGCATATCGCAATTAGGTTCACTACCTTACTATCGGTGTTAAGCTGCCCAAACATTCAATATTCAACTCTCTTCCTCAGGGCAGCCTGGGCGGCAATAACTACCTACCTGAGGTTCTTTCCTGAACGATCGGAACTCGAGCCGTCAAATCTCATTGTTCGCAGGCAGACAGACCTTGTACCTACTCTTTGGTACTCGATGTGAGGTGGTCTCACTTCCCAGCTTCACCCTTCACCTCAGTCACTTTAACCCCTCCACTTTCCACCTCACCCTTATCAGCTTCGACACTACCTTACCCACCTAAGGTAAGGTAGCTAAGGTAACTTACCGCTATCGAGGTAAGTGGACGTGTGTACGGGAGTGTTCGGACCTCACGGCCTCGCTGCTGATAACCTAACCCCACCAACCCACCGCCAGCGCAAGGTGCCTCCCATTTCCCCACTGCACCTGCCCAAGACCCCCGATACTCCCCTGCAACCTGCCCCTTCCGCGCACCAAGCCAAGTGCGATAAGGCGTTATCGCCGCCTGCACTGCCGCGACTGCCTGATACCGAACAGTGACAGCACGGTGCCACCTCCGGATTCCTGCCCCACTTCACCCACCTCGGCGCCCTCGACCTCCAACTTACACTGTATCGCACCTGCCTTACCTTTCTGCCTCCCTCCCGCCTTCTCCATGCCCGTTTTATTAACTTCAGCCCGTGAAGAACTGCGGTCTACTTTGAGCGAATTTTTCCCTCATACACCGCAACATCTTGGGCTTCGAAGACAGATTCCCACCTTCGATACCAACAAGTCCCCTCGTCCCAACCTCGATCGACCTGAGCTCGGTCGTATTCGGACGGCAGACGCTGATACCGACACAAGCTTCCCAACGCACGCTGACTTGGCCAGCCAGTCAGTCCGAGAGCCTCGCTGCTCTCGTCATTCTCTCCAACCCACTCTCGCCAGACCACGATACGGTCGAGAAGGCATCAAGATGGCGACGGGCGCTAAACCCCAGGCAGAGGACGGTAAGCTTGACACTCCTACCTCGCGTGCCCCTCTCTATGATAAGCCTAACTAACTCATTCTCTAGTGCTCCTGACCGTTTCGGTTCAACATCCCAACCTCGATTTCCAATATCCCGAACGACGCATCACACTTGAGCAAAAGAACCCAAGCGTCGTGCAAATCGGCCGTACCAGCAAACGGTTTAGCAACCTCGAGGCCAAAGCCGATAACTGCTATTTTGACAGCCCGGTCATGAGTCGCGAGCATGCCAAAATCACCGTCGATTGGTACCACAAGGTGCGTGATCTACTGTAGCTGGCCGTCATTACCTTACGCTGACTGCTAGTACAACGAACAGAAGCTTTTCGTCAAAGACATCGGCTCACTTCACGGAACCTATCACAACTCTCTAAAGCTGCCTCTACATGCCGCGAAGGAGCTGACCCGGGGTGATGTTCTCAAATTTGGCATCGACATTCAACGATCCAACGACCTCTTTCCGCCTTGCACCATCCAGGTAGACTGGGAATTCGATCACCTGGCCAAGGCCAAAGCTTCCGGTCAACTCAGCGGCCGCCCCTCCTTCTCAGTCCCCGATGACTCCGACTCGGAAAGTAGTGATGAAGATATGTCCACCATGGACGATATCCGCGCCACCGTTGAGAAGATTCGCAAGATAGAGATGCCTAAGTTGACTACAGGCCCGGGCGGTTCCTTCCCCAGCTTCCTGCCTCCTCATAGCTCTATCGATCTCACCGTCGACTCTCCTGTTCACGAATCTCGCGGAGGTGCACAAGCTGAGACCCCAATTGTCATCGACGAGGATATCCCGAAGGACAAAAATGAGCTCGCCGAACCCCTTCCCAAGGTCATGCAAGATCAGGAGGTGACGCTTGAGCTGGACGCACCGCATGACGAAGACGAAGAAGACGAGGATATGCCTTCCAGTCATAGAATGGACTCGAAGCTTCCTCTTGTCTTCGCCTCGGACTCCGAATCGGATGACTCCTACGATGACTCCTACGACGACGAGTCGGCAAGTTATCCCGATGAAGAACCCTCAGAGATGCCCGACTCTTACGATGATGACATTTGCCTGAGTGATTCCGAAATGTCGGACCGCAGTGACGCTGAAGATGATCTGGATGCCGAAGATGAGAGCAACAGCGAAAGTGAGAGCGAGAGCGAGGACGAGCTCTTGATCGAAGGTCCGAGCTACGACGAGCCTGAAGACAGCCAGATGAACGATGACAATGACAACTATGGTTCTCAACCTGACAGGGACATGGCAGCCGCCTGGGAAACCCAGGGCCCCTCTCTTGCCTTTACGCAATCGCAACAAATGCCCAGCATGCCACACACGAACTACTACCCCCAGCCCGATACTGGTCGCCAGTTCTTCCCCGCGCCTATGCCATCACTCTCTTCTATCATACCTTACGAGGGACTGGAAGAGCAGGGGAGGCAGAACGACTTCAGGCTGCCGTCGATTCTGAATCCTGCAGACACGCATGTCGAGAATGAGAATCCCTTCGTAGCCGGCCTGAAACCCCAGCAACTGCACATGTCTGCACCGACAGACCTCATTCAATGCGAGGGGGTGGCACCACTTCATTGCTCATGGGAGCGGGCCCTGAGCATTCCCAAGAGGGGCGTCGCTGCCACGGAGTCTCTGGCGTTCTCCCAGAATGATGGCCCCTCTGCTGAAGCCCTTGGAGAGACCACTGGCAAGACTGAATTCTTCGCGGCAAGGGAGGCCAACAAGGCAACCATGCGTCGCCACGAGCAAGACCATGACATGATCCCGGTCCAACCTCGCAACCAGGTCCCCGAACCGCCTGCGATTTCTGCCGAGCCATCTACTTCAAAACTCCCGTACAATGTTGTGATCGATGCAGCACCCGTGCCAGAGCCGGTGAACGAAACCCCCAAGTCGGCCTGGTCTAGTTCTGGAGAGAAGTTCCTCAACAGTCCTCAAATTTTCTCCGTCACAGACGCAACAGAAGCTCCTGAGCTTGACATGACGAGCGCTTATCAGTTCCAGCAAAGCAAGCTGGGCTCTTCACTGACCGCCCCTACCGAGCCTGAGGATACACCACAGGCAGTGACGTCTCCAAAGCGCAAAGCAAATGAGATATCGACTCTCACGCCTCATGAGGAGTTCATCGAGGCGGCTATGAACAACATGGTAACCGGGGTGGAAACAGCTGCCGAGCAACCCACGACTGTTCCCGTTGCTGCAGAGCCCACCTTGGGAGCACCTCCTCCCCCTAAGCGTCTGCGAAGCTTCTTGAGCAAGGCTGGGTACTTCTTCGGCGGCGGCGTTCTGACTGCGGCAGGTGTCGTAACAGCACTTGCCGCAACCGCCCCTGCTCTTTGATGACTGAAAGCAGATGTTCTTCATCTTCAAGGTATGGCTTGGTTTGATTTCTTGGAACGAAACTGGATCGGAACGGGCTTGACCAATTGTGTCTACCCGAGACTGACTATCAGTCACGGCGTTGCGAGCTTCAGGGGTCTGGAATTGGGAATAAGGAAGTGGCGGGATGGAATGATTCAAATTTGATGATGCTTCGGTTCCGAGGGCCGGAGATGACAACTTGATCAGGATTGGCAAGGCAGGTTTTCTCACATGAAGTTTTATGATATTACTAGGCCGCTAGTTATTCGCTTCTCTATTTCTACAATGGCTCTTTCTTATCACACTTATCGCTTTAGTAAATGGCAGGCTGCGCTTAGGCAATGAACCACTCTTCATTATGACATGATCCATAACGTATCTCGGACTTTTTCTTTTCAAAAAATTCGATAACTCTTATCTTCTACCATTTCATCCTGAGATGCCGGAAAGCCAGTCCACGTAATACTATTATTAACAAACTGAATTCAAGCCGCTAGAGATACCCTCCGCCGGAGGTGATATATTGTTTCCTTTCTGGCCCAAAATGTGGGAGGATCTATTGCCCAAAGGCCATAGAGCGTCTGGGAAGCCATCACGTTTCAGGGATGGTAAGCTGGCCATCCATCCATCTTAGCCACTCGGGATGCCTCAGGTAGAGCTACGCCATTCACCGCCCGCGACCCATATGAGGAGTGAATCATGCTCAGTCTTCAACAACAAGAAACGGGCCACATGGCCGAGGGGTCACGAAGTGCTGGCTGGAACAGTGATGCTCCTGTTCCTTCCAGGACTCTGGCCTTCAAATCTCGGCTGGTCCATTCTTTTTTTTTTTCTTTTTCTTTTGCCAACTTGACTTGTGTAAGAAAGAGCCTTGGATATCTCTTGAAGTCTTTATTTGTCTCAAATATGGGTGAATGTGTCTGTATTGGTTCTTCTTATTGTTCTAGGCACGTAAGTGCGTAAAAAAGCTCACCCTTTACAAATATATCTGTACGTAATTACTATTTAATGATGTATACTAGCATATACGTATCTCTGTGGTTTAATTCTGTAATAAGACCCTTTAACCCGCGTAGAGCTTTTGCTGGAAAAGGCACCCCCGTCTGGCCGCACCACCAGCTACCGTGCAGTATATGCCGGTATGGGCGCACTGTATCCGTCCGTATGCCCGGGCATTCAATAGCGTGGCGTACGTGAGGTATAGGTTGGTGGGCTTCGCTTTACATTTTGGCTTTGAGTGGTTTCTTCGCTGTCCAACGTGACTTATAGAGGAAGCCGGATGTTGTTCTCGTGGGTGGTTCGGATCTTTCCGCGGGACTCTTTTTAATGACGGCTCTGGTTTTTAAGTAGATCAAAATCAGTGATAGCATAAATAGCCCTACTCACTAAGCCACCGAGGTTCAGAACAACAGAGTGGTCTACTCAGAAGGCGCCTGATTCGTGCCAGGGCAAGGTATTGCTGTTGTGCAACTCAGCCTAAGCACCTAAAGTACGTATAGATGCTCGCTTCTTTCGCTATTATACAGAACAAGGCTAAGACTTCTGCTACGCGTCTGTCCGACGCGCGGAGGGAATGCTCAGCTTCCTGTTGGGAGAGAAGGGGGTGGTACGATTTCCATTCAAGGCGCTTACTTGTCTGTAACCGATGACCGGATGGAATCGTGTCGAGTGTGACTCCTTCGCGTGATCACAGCTCTTCGATATCGATCCAGTAGCAACGTCCGGGTAATCTCCCGCGGCGGTACACGACCGGCTGATGCCACGCTACCTCGTAGGGTTGAGCGGGATCATTCCCTCTGTGTTCCAAGGTCGACTTGCAGCCACGACCGACGTACTTGAGTGGTTCCGTTCCTCTGGATAAGCGAAGGGAAGACGGTTAGGGGAGAATTCGGCAACTACTGTTGCCAACGCAGGTTCGGCTCGGAACCAACCGTCCAATCCATGTCGTCCTTCAGCTATGGCAGCCTAGAGATCAAGTTGCTAGCCTGCCAAGACGCCCTCGACGTTTGACAAGGGTTATTAGCAACCTTGGAAGATAAATCGCATTCCCTTGAAAATTCCTCTATTCCTCAGTCCGATTTGAAATACGATGATTTCGGACGTTCACTGGACTATCATGCTACTTGTTCCCTAGACTCCCGACGCACGCGGTGTCCAACGTCGTGGAACGGGATGAGCAGTCCATCCATAACACCAACGCCCTATACCAAGCCCGAGCCCGAATCAAACTTGTAGAGAAAACGACCGTTCTATCCCGCCAGACAAACACACTTGCTTGGTCCCTTGCGAGACCACCCTGCCCTCTAGAGCATATGACTATCAGGGTTAAAGTAACATTTACATGGATTCCGCGAAGTTTCCCTCGGGAAGCCAGATGGTGGCGTTGGCTGCCGTGGTTCAGTGGCAGCCGGCACCAGCAACGCCTTGACCCGGGCCCGTCGGTCCCGTAGGTCCCCTGGGTCCCGGTTTGTTGTTCGAGTCCGAGGCCACGGGCTGAGAGCTTAGAGCCTGGGCTTGACCAGCAGCCCCGTGAGGGCAAGGGACTCTGACTACACCTTGGGAGTCGCAGGTTCTGCAAGGATTTCTACGTAGCATGCGTCAATGCAAAGTCCTACTAACTCTGGGTTGGAGATTTCCTTACCTTTCGTGCCCGCCACAATGAGTGCAGGTTCTGAAGTCCCACCTGCCAGAGTACCCGTCATCGATGCAACCGCAGGTTTCATTCTCATTGCTCGCCATAGCAGATGATGAGTTGGTGTTTCCGCGGTTCATGATGGTTCAATAAAATTGTGATAATGTTACTGATAGAAGAAGGTCTTAAGTATCGTTCCCAAATTTGATGAGTATTTTGCTGTAGATGAAGATCGTGAGAGAGGAGAAGGTGCGTCGCAGGGTGTACGAGAGACAGATGGAAAGAGAGTCTGATGATGAAGGTGGGAGTTGCTCCGTCTTTATACTTTTCCCCATCACGACACTTGGAGGACCAACCTCGCATCAACACCATGAAAGTCATCGCACTCACGAAGATCTTTCGACACCAGATCCTTCTCGTGTGTCGGTTTGCCTCACCGCCTTCGACCAGCAGCCGGCCTGGAGAGCATTATCGTCTCCCGGACCTTCAACGCCAGCCAAGACACCGCCAGAGGAAACAGCTGGCTGAGTCTTGTGACCCATGCCTTGCCCAGCTCCTACTTTCATGGTTGCCTCGTTTCATGCCGCGAACTAGCGAATAAGGAGGCAGTGGTGGGTGATACTTCATATGTCGCCTTGTTCTGTCCCCTTTGGGTAAGTAGCTTTGCATATTCTTCGAGCCGTCTTTGGGGCCAATTTGTCTCGGCAAAATGTTGGATCTGATATTGACGTCAGCCGCATAGAATTGTAGGGCTTACATGTCCTGGAACTACCACCCTCGCCGACGCCGTGGTATGAGCAGCCTCATGTGTTCCCCGGCGCCCCCGTTCCTCGCGTCGAGCCTTTGACCGATCTTGCTCCCCCACGATCTCTACTCTAGTTCCGTTCAGCTGATCACGATCTCCCGATTATCGTCCTTGAGATAAAGCCCGAATCATTGTTCCCAAAGAACGATATGCGCATCTCTTTCTCTATTCAGCTTCACCTGCCTCGGACTCTGATTTGATTCCTCCCGGGCTGCCAGCTGTCCCAGCAATCACGTCTCCAACCTCGACCGACGCCTGCGGCTACCCGCGTCGACCCATGTCAATCCTCCCACACAGATGTACACCGGCACCTCGAGGGGGCCTTGGAAAGCTGCAGAAAGATAAACCAATGCCATGCGAGGGTTGCCATGAGACTTTCCGGCCGAGAGGAGAAGAATAAGGCGTTGTTCAACTCAACCCGTCTACGCTACGCCGGCCATTATGCGTTTGCGAAATGTCATTTCCCTTGGTGTCTCCGACTTTTCTGCTCGCCCCTGACAGTGCGACCACTGACGGCTTCATTGTCAGACCAAGCATTCAGGATTTCCGTGGGACCTTCCAAATCACCGCATCTACCCAGAGATTCCTCCTCTCATCACTTGTCTCGTTGTATTGTCAAGCGACACCCTCCGGCACGGCCCATGCCCGGCGAGAGCCAGGACAACCCCATGTCGGGCACGATGCACCCATGCTCCCGCATTCTCTCCCTCCCGTTATATCCGAGCTTAAGTCTGCGTAACGCGAATTCTTCAGGACGAAGTGGCATGCCCGCTAAACGCCAAAACACAACATAGATTCTAGACTCACGATGTTAGCCTCCCGCAATCGATTCTTGGGATGTTGTAACCTCCCATCCACCCCGGCATAATGCTTCATTCACTACATAGAAAGTTGTCGAGGTCTCGCCGACAGATACAGAATCTCAAACTACCCAAGTACATCGGGCATCGTAACATGCCAACATTGATCATCAATAAACGAGCGTCGAAGAAGTACAAGCACCGAGAAACTATAGCAGAACCCTTACACTTCTCTGCAAGGCCCGATAGCCCCGACTCACCCGTTCATATCCTCGGCCGATTCCCTGCTTGTGCCACCCATCCTTTCCCTCGACCAGCAGCATTGGACGCGATCGCCAAAAAGGGTCATCTGACCTCCTTGTACTCTCTGTGACGGCTCGTCCAAAACTCGAATGCCGAAGGGTAGCCATGTAACTAACGACAATTATCGTGGAAGTTGTCGTTGATACGGTGCCAGTTCAGTCTGCTCAAGGAAAGCTGCATGTTGTTGATTTCTCTTCTTCTCTCGTTACATCGCAGGGCGTGTCTTCGGATGATCACCTTGCATGTCTTCCTCGACACTCCTTTATCTGGAGATCCTAGATGACGAATGGACATTACCTGCACATATCACTCTTGCCGCGTGATTACCCTGCTGTCCTATCTTACGTTTTCTTCCTGCCCCTCCCCTCCCGGAGACGTTTCGCGGCAACCTCATCACTCACGATGTTTTTTTCAACAGGCCTCATCCCAACGACCCCTCTCTCGTTCACGGTCCTTACCCGTGGTGGCGTCGCTCACTGCAGGCAAACATCTCATCTCGGTGAGCGAGAGAACCAACAGGACCCCAGTCACCGCGGTCCTTTTGGTCCTTGGCCCCATCCATGCATTGACGAGAGACAGACGCAGAGAGGAAAATCGTAACAGAGAGATAGTAAAGCGACGATGATAGACAGTGTAAGTCCGCAAAAACTAGCTCTAAATTGGGCTCTAATTGCGAAGCCTCCTGCAGGTCTTGGAGTCAAGAAAACGGAAAAGGAAAGAAAATGTCCCTTTTCCCCGAGGCCCCCGACACTGTCTCACTGCGAACGAGACAACCAACGACTTTCTTCCGCTAGGCGTATGCGCGCCTCCAATATATTCACAGCATGATTCAGCCCAGTCTACGGGTCCTGAAGAAGCGACAGGACCGGATCAACCAAGCGGCGAAGTATAACGGACGTTGTCTCAACCTCAGCCTCTGGGCTCATCTACTTTCCGGCTGTCAACTGCACAGAAACGCCGGCAGTGCACTGTCACCCTCAATGTCGCCTTATGGGATACTTCATACCCATGCCCGTTCCCTTCTTACTTTACTGCTGTGCTTCGCGAGAGAAAGTACCCGTACAACAATATTGATTCATTCGTCGCTGGTCCTTACTCGTCTTCCTGTCCAGCTACCGCGGTTGTGCCTATGTATTGGAGTTTGTGCGACTTCGAAACTCATCGCCAGCCATTTCTTGGAAGCAGGAGGGCGCATCTTTCGTCTGTTCTGCGACAATGACAAGTAAGCTAGGCGTCAGCTACAGCAGGTGAAAGGGCACAGTATGCCAGGAACGCACTCACCCTGGAGGCCTGAGCCAGCCAAGTACCCTGTTACAAGTAGGGGCACAGCACAAAGTCGACAAGCAGTTTTGATAGGATGGTCGAGACTCGAGAGATGGCCATGGTCAACCAAGCATTGGCATAGCCACGCTGATGGTCACATCTGAAGTCGTAACTACGGCCGAATGAAAACCAAGAGAGAATAGTCGCCACTTCAGGAGAGTTCCGAGTCGTACAGATTCGTTGGTCTCGCGACTGATTGGCACTGATGTATTACCGCTCCTTTGGTTCCGTCTGATACACCGACTGGATCTGCAAGGTTTTGTTGCAGTCATATTGGCATCCTGGAGGCCCGAGCCTGCGGTGAGCTGCGTATCTTGGAATTGAAATAGCCGTGCTACGGATGTAGAAGACGGCAATGAAATATCTACGTTTCGAATAATGCGCTACCACGTGGCTCCTTTGGCAAGTACGACTGTTTCACCGTTTGAGAGGATCGACTCACTTTGTCTTCAAAGAAACTGAGCGGAGGACCTTGAAAGTACTTTGAGTCCCGAGGCCATTCAGTCACAGGTCCGCTACAATAGGGATCGGTTTCTCGGGTACTACGTACCAAGACGGGAACCCGGCTCGGGTGCTGAGGATAGATCATGATGGGAGAAGAGACGAGGGCGAGCATGAAGTAGGTAGCCGCAGTAAGTTGAAGAGAAGAATAAGTCAACGTCTAATATTGGAATCTATGGGCGTCGCAGGAACCAATACACGCTTAATCCAACCCCTGCCGCAACCGCCACTCTCTCAGCCAGCTTGCGCAGCAATAACCTCTCGCCTGCTCGGTGACCCTGCTTTCCAAAAAAGTCTGCCCCCGAGTTCGTCCACGGGTACGGCGTCTCCGGCACCGGCAAGCCTAGGAACTCACACAACGGGACCCAGCCGTCCTTGGGCCCGGAGAAGACGAGCATCCTTTCGGGCGTCTCACGCGTGATGGCTTCAATACGGGCATGGTGCTCGTCATAAGGCTTCCGTCCCGGCACGGCCTCGGCCCACCCGCCGTACGCCGTGTCCATGATGAGCCGCAAGAAAGGCCACCACGCGGCGCGGAAGGCGTCGAGCGGATGCAGCAGGCGGAAAACGAGGGACCGGCGCAATTTGAAGACCGTCTTCTCCATGGACGCGCGCCAGGGCTCGTAGTCGCGCTTGGAGACGATGATGCGGGCCTCTGGGTAGGCGGCGGCGAGGTCCTCTGCGAAGAGGAGGGCGTGGGGCACTTGACGACGTCGTAGTCGCCTAGGAGCTTGTCGAATTCCGCGCGGCCGTAGGGCTTGCAGCGGTTGTGGTACTTTGCTTCGATGGCTTCTGTCCAGAGCGGGATTGACTCTTGCCAGGTTGGCCACATGGCTTGGAAGGAGAAGACTTTGAAGCCGAGTTGCTCGAGGGCACTGTTTAGTGCTGTGGTGTTGGAGTTAGTAAGACGGCATGATTTAGGATTGTGGAAGTTGAGGATGTCGCGATATGGGATGAACGTGTTTTTGATGGGATGGACTTGCATTCTGTCGCCGTCCGCGGCAGTCCGAGCAACAGCAGCTTCATGGGCCGCGTTCTCGTCTTGGTGACGGAGTCAATGAGGCGAGGCTTTTCTGACGTTTCCATTTTCGATAATGATGAGTCTTCCGTGAACTTGCTTCCGTGTGCCATGATTTCGTTCTTGCAATATCTTATAAAGCCTCTCATCTTGGCCGAGGTCTTGCTTCTCACTTGAGAGTCTTTATAAGTGAGCCAGCTGTCATGTACCGGGGCTCGTGGACAAGGTTTCCATTATAGCATGGGGACAAACCTAAATCGGCACAGACTGAGCTGACTCGTAATTACTCGTCCAGGATTCCGGGTGGGAGATCTGGATGAGGGTGTGTGTCGAAGGTAATCCACGCCCCTAGTCCCCCGGTCCTCATCTCCATCCGTCTCTCTCGTTCTGTCATTGACTTCTTTCGGCGAAGAAGCCATCCAAGATAAATACCGAGAGCACAACAGAAATTACGGATACATGTATCTTCAAAGTAACGAACTATCGACAGCACAGCTCTTCCATGGAGTACAAAAAAGCTATCGTGTCTAAACCTATGAGCCATCGAGCTCGACAGACCCAGATCCTCTCCTTTCTTTCCTACAGTCGGGACTCGCAGAACCATCTCAAGGCTTCTGTAATGACATGTGCCAAATCTTCATTAACTCTGGGGATCATGATATCGAAGTGTCCCCCCTCAACAATGTGCTGCCTCACACATGGCCCTGCTAACTCTCGCCATTCTTCCGTGAGCTGGGTTGTAGAGGTTTCCGGGCGTGGCTCCTTCAGCCAAGTTCCATGGTCACCGTCAATAGCACCACCGAATGATCCATTGCTTAGTTCCTGCGCTTTTCGCAGAATCTTGGTCGGGAACAGCGAAAAGTCGCCATTTGACGACCAGACTACTTGCAACGTCGCTGGGTTTTTCTCTCCGTTCATATACAGGGGCGAAAGTTTGTAGGAGCTATTCATGATAATGAGATGCAGCATATGGGGTTTCTGCCACTCAGCCATGGTTGACGACAGATGACCTCCAGACCATCCAAAGAACCCCGTTGCCTCGAGATGCTCACCCGAGATCGGTTCAGGACCTGAACACAGGTTGGGAGTCAGATATGCGTAAGACTCTATCACGAGAAGTCCAGAGACTGCGTGTCCCAATTGTATGATCTGTCTGGCACACTCGTATGCAAGACGCCCTCCAATCGACCAGCCACCGAGCATATATGGTCCCGTCGGTTGGATACGAAGGATTGCCTCGACGAAGAGTGAACAGTACATGTCCATAGAAAGATTGGGGATGACATTCATGCCGTGAAATGGTGACTCGAGGACGTATACTCTCGTGTCGGTCTGTATAGACAGGTTCGGCGGAAGCCCTGCGTACACGGAGCTGCTTCCGGAGGCGTCTGGAAGGAGAAACAAGTTGTGTGTGCAACGACTGGAACCTTGCAAGAGAACAACTCTGCTCGAAAGCTCAGCACTCACCACGGAGTGAGGTGTCGTGTCCGGTCCCTGAGCGATGTTTGCCGTTGTGATGCTGCGCTTCTCAGCAGCACCTTCGACGCGTTTAGGTTCGACATTTGCGAGAGTAATCTTTAAGCAAAGTGAGCCAACTTCGCTCACAGTCTGCGCTTCTAATAAAGCCATCAACGGAACCTCGACGCCTAGCTCGGCTCGAATGGTGTCTGATATTGTAGGAGCCACCAAGGAGTCGACGCCCAAATCAGCCAGTGCGGTGTCCTGACCAATCTCATCAGGGTCTGCATGCGTCTCTTTGGCCAGTATTGAGATGAGTTTGCTTATCAAGCTTGCTGGGCGCGTCTTGATAGTTTTCTCGTGCTTATCGAGGAGCATGCTCTTTGGAGGAGAATAGTGGTTTGACTTCGACGATCGTGGCGTAGGTGAGATGGCCTGGTTTCTGGGATCACTCTCTTCCATCCGTGCTGTAGCGTCCTCATAGCCTTTACCACTTTTGCTTTTGGTTTCTGGTCGTTGTTTCAATTTGTGGAAACGCATGCCGCCGATAGCGGCTACGGGGCACATGCCATTCTCCTCGTCAAATATCGTAACGTCCATAATGACGTCGCCCGATCCATCTGTTTCTCCGTGGATGTAACAGGCGTACACGCTGCTGCTGCGAGGACGCTCCCAAAAGTCGATAGCCGCACATTCGGTAAGGACATATACCGCTCCGGGATCAGCAGCAACATTCATGTTCACTGTGAAGCCAGCGGCCTGCATTGCACCATCTAACCAGACCGGGTCAATCACATAGTCTCGGTCTCCAGCACCTGTACTTGATGCTGTTCGAAGCTTCGCGGAAGCTTCATAACCGAGGGGTGCTAGAGTGAGGTTCTGGAGAACATGGTACTGTGAAGAGTACTGCATAACGGGCGTCCACATCTTGTAGATCATCGGCCCGTTGAAGTGGTTGGCGGCGGCGTTGCTACGCAGCTGGCTGATACGAGAGACGGACTTGATGAGAGAGCGAGCCGTGTGCTCGCCTCTGATGCCGTTCGAGTCTTCTGTCACTCGTAAAATGCAACTTGCGTGATGAGTCTGACGTTCGCCGCCGTAGAAAGTAACAGCGTATTCCGGGACCACGTTCAACTTTTCCAAGGTGGTTTCAATAGTCTGGGCTGGGCTGTTGATAGCGTCACTATCAATCGTAATAGCCGCCATCAGACGTAGTGACCTCAACCCGATGGACTCGAGGCCCACCCGTTCGCCTGGGCTTTGTAGCACAGCGGCGAAGGCCATGTCGATCAGCACGCCGGCGGGGCATATGGCCTTGTTTCGGATTACATGGCCAAGTATGAGACTTCTCAGTGGCTCTTCTTGGAGATTCGTCACATGTTTCGCCCTAGTGTTTTCGTCGTCTTCTGAGTCGAGGGTACATCCAGAAACAGGTGTATCTGGCTGTGATGATGACGACGACGATATTGATATTGATGGTGATGGTGAAGGAAGATGACGGATTTGCGCTAGAGGAATCCAGAAGTTCTTCAGGTCAAAGCCGTAGGCTGGTAACTCAAGCAGACTTCCGCCATGTTTTATCGCGCCGTGATAGCGGCTCCAGTCGATGTCAACCCCAGAACTGTAAAGTCTACTGACACTGAAGGCAATAGTATCAAGGCATCCCTGGCCTCCAGTGCCAGTAGCTTCGAGAACCTCAGCCATGTCTTCACTCGCCGGGGTGATATTCGCAGTAGTCATGTCTTTGCACATTGAGGTCGGTGAATGGGTCAGGAAGATGGTCTTCCGCCCAGGACTGAGTCTCATTGCAGACTCAATGGCGTTCGAAAACAGTACAGGTTGACGGGCGTGTTGGGTAATATGCATAGGCCAGAACGGACAGGTATTGGCCAACGATCCTATTACCGTCGAAACAAAGTTGATCTGTGGTTGACTGGCGAAAGAAGCTTGCGTGGCAACATCAAGCAGCTCCGTCAGGATCCCGTCCATCTGACCCGTATGGAAGGCATATGGTGTCTTAACCAAGACACCTTTGATGCCATGTACCTTAAGACGACTTTGCATTTGTAGGATATTATCGAGTGGCCCACCAACTACAGTCTGCCGCTGTGAATTCCTGCATGAAATTTCGACGTCGCAGCCTGCCAGGAATGGAATGAGCTGTTCCTCTTCGGCCAGTACAGCCAGCATCCGGTGGGTATCAGGTTTGCAAGACTTTTGCACTAAGCCTGCCCGCTTGCCTACGAGCCAAATGGCATCCGCAGCAGAAACAACGCCGCTTAAATGGAGAGCCGCGTACTCTCCAAGACTATGGCCAAGTACAGTCGCGGGCTCAACGCCCCAAGTCTTCCACATCTTGCTGAGAGCTAGCTCAAATACGATGAGTGCAACCTGCTCTAACGCGGTGCTTGACGAGGTTTCCACTGTATTCGGGGTAATGAGATATTTCAAGACTCCGGAGAAGCCTAGAGATTCACTGAGTTGGCTGTAGTCGTGTAAAGCTTCCCGAAACGCGCTGTTGCTGTCGTTTAACTGCTGGGCCGAACCGGCGACTTTTCCGCCCTGCCCGGAGAACACGAAGACAATGTGCGGCGTGTGTGATGTATGCCGTGATGGTGGCGATACTTCACTCGTGTCTCTAGAATCTTCGGAAAGAAGGTTGATGATCTCAGTTGTATTTCTGGCTTTGTATGCGAAGCGGTACGGATGGTGAGTTCTCCGTTCACAGGTTGTGTAAGATACACCATCAATCGCCGCAGAGGGCTCCTCAACTAGGAACTTGAGAAGTCTCGTTTTGTTGGCTTGAAAGGCCGAATAACTCTTGCCAGAAACAACAACGATGCGTGACAACGTCTCATATAACTCTCGGTGTTTGGGCTTTTTTCTGATGAGCTTTGAATGGTTCTTCGAGCCCTCCACAAGAATGCTGGTATTCCCGCCAGCTGCCCCGAAACAATTCAGTATGATAGCTGAAGAGGATTGGCGATGTCTTGAAGTCTGTTCATGTAACTTCAAGGGCTCAGAGTCCGAATTGATAGCAATGTTTAGCTCTTTCAGCGGAGGGAAATTGTGGTTTAGTTCCATCCTGAGCCCAATATGTGGAGGAACACAGTTATGGCGAATCATGAGCAGCGTCTTGACCAAGGCTGAAATACCGGCTGCACCCTCGCTGTGTCCAATATTGGCCTTGATGCTGCCGGTCCGTAGACTCGCCATCAGCCTTCTCAAATGTCTTCGCGGTGGGCTTCTCTTAGGAGGATTTGTCGACCTTGCTGCTATGCTGACAGCCGCCCTCCCGCCCATCATCTTGCGCTGGCTTCTCGTAGCTCTACCAGAGCTGGCCAAAGACGCACATACCTCTGAGGCAGATGGACCTCTGCAAGATGGGCAAGAGAGCTACGACGCCCGAATCACCCATAGCTACGGTCTAGTTGCAGCCATGGCACTCTCACAGATGGCTGCTGGCATCCTCATCAACGCGTCGCGATACAAGCTAGAAGGCGTCGGAGCCCAGGCAAAGGCTGCTCTCACGTACATCAGCATGGAAAAGGCCTTCTTGGCACCTCCTTCTTCGGCCGCAATCACCTCACCTCAAAGAGTTCAAGGAACAAAAGGGGGCCCGAGACGTCAAATCTGGAACTCCGGCGCCGTGTTTAACCTCGCATCCGTGGAAGCCTCACGCATAGAGGATTGCATCAGCGGTATTAACGCTATCTGGACCGTACCAGCTAGCTTTATCCTCGCGATCCCCATGTTGGCCACGAATGTAGATACTTCATCGCTAGGCGGCATGGTGATCTTGCTTCTAGGTCTTCCCATCTTCACCAGCGTCGCTCTCCGCATCTGGGGCGAGCAAAAGGCTCTCAGCGGACTCTGCCGACGACGAGCGGCCAGCACACAGCAAGTGATCCAAGGCATCCGCGGAATCAAACTCGCAGGATGGGCTTCCCAGACCATGGTTCTAAACAAGCTGTGCGGGATGAGGGTGGTGGAGATGGTGACGGCAAGCCGGTTATGGCACAACCGCGCCGTGCTCGAAGCGGCGTGCGCTCTCTTGCCGACATTGGAATCTATGGCAAGCCTCGTCCTCTATGATACGTTCCACGAGGGCGTACCTGACCCAGCAAAGGCGTTCTCATCCTTTGCTCTGTTCTTGGCGCTCAAACCGCATGTAAACCGTGCGGCACAGGCAGCGGTACAGTTGCAGGATCTTTTGGTGGGATGCCGCGCAATTGAGCAGTGGTTAGAGACGGAGGAGCCAGGTGAACTGATGGCGAAGTCTGCCGACTGGGCAGTTGATATAGCTCAGGATACAGTCGTTTGCTGGCCAGTCACATCTGAAGATGACGACTTCGTATTAGCCTTTGACACCCAGGTTCAGGTCATGAAAGGTGAAACGGTGGCCGTCTGTGGCGCACCTGAGTCTGGTAAATCATCTCTGCTATGTGCGGTCGCAGGCCAAATGTGCCTCGAGTCCGGCAGATTAGAACTGGGCATCGGGTCAAATGTGGCCATGGCTGGCCAGACACCATGGATGAGGAGAGGAACGATCCGCAGCAATGTCCTCTTCGACCAGAAGTTTGACGAGGCAAGATATTGGGCGCTTCAGCTCTCCTGAGCGATATCGACAGAATGCCCCATCGGGATCTCACGATTATTGGCTCTGGTGGTCAAGGTCTCTCAAGCGGACAAGCTCAACGTGTCAGTCTGGCCCGAGCAATGTATTCGGATGCTGACATCGTCCTCATTGACGACTGTCTCCGAAACCTTGACCCTGCAACGGGCAAAGCCGTGTTCGAAGGCGGGATTTGCAGCTTGTTGGAGGGCAAAACGCGCATCATCGCAACAAACCAGGCTTGGGTGGCCCGCCGGTGTGACCGGGTGCTGTGGCTCGAACATGGACGTATCAATGAGTTGAGGTCTCCGGATAAACTTGAGCAGCATTTGCCATCCATCGGAGTGGACGAATCTCCTCGGACGACGACGACGCAACCGCCAGCAGGACAACTCTTCTTGTATAAGGATGCAGCACAGGCACCAGGCCTGACTCCTACACACGCATCTGTTGTATCAACACCACAAGCAGATGTCAAAGTGCGAAAATCCTTCGACTTATACCTGGAACTCGTGGGTGGGCCAAAAGCAACGTCTACAGCAGGAGGTATCGTCTTTTGCTGGCAAGTGACCGCCGCCGGCCTAGTGCTTTGGCTCTCACTGTGGACTTCTAATCGGCTGGGGCTGTCGGGCTTTGCATCTGTAGCAGTCTTTGCTGTGCTAGGATTTGTAGAGGCGATTCTGGCGTATTTGTTATGCCTGAACATCACCAGAAGGATGTTGCAAGTGAGCCACAGCTTGTGGGAACGATCAGTGAGACGTGTAGTCGGGGCACCAATGACGTTCTTCCAAGGCCATCTCCTGGGAAGCATCATGGATCGCCTCTCCAAAGATGTAGACACGACTGATAGAGAGCTGATTGAGGCAACGCGCAATGCTACACTCCATCTGGCGCGCCTTCTGGGTGGAGTTGCACTGATGTTGGCGATGCAGATCAATGTATGTACCTTCCCCAAGTCCACGAAAGAATTGTGCTTACAAACATCCTCCAGCTTATCGTCGTTGTAGTGCCAGGCCTGGCTGCCGTCGTTGCTATGATGCGCCGTTACGCTCCTCGTTTGAAGACTGTCCGATCTCGCGAAGCTAAGCTACGGTCCCGCGTGAACGCCGCATTCAGCGAGAGCGTGGACGGCGCCAGCTGCATCTCCGTTTACAAAGTTGAAACATCGGCCCGGTCTCTTCTTGTCCAACGGCTGAATTCTTGGAGCAGTATCCGTCTGCTGGCCGCCGCAAACCTACGCTGGCTTGAAGTGAGACTTGACGCTGTTGTTGCCAGTACTATTGGGCTCACGGGTCTGCTTGTCGTGGCTTCCTCAGCTTCACTATCACCTTCCATCATTGGCCTGATAATGAGTCAGGCTCTGATACTTCCGGCATCCCTGCGACAAGGCATGAGGTTCTCTACGAGCGCGCTTCAGTCGATGGTCGCAGTTGACCGTCTAGCATCTTATGCGATCAGTCTACCTCGTGAGGGTGAGACGGGGCGTGCCTTGGGGTACCGCTTTTCTCTTGAGCAATCGTGGCCGAACACTGGGGAGATAGCCGTTCGGAACGTGAGTGTCTCTCACCGTCAAGAGCGTGACCAGGAGACATCCTCTGCGTTACAGCAAATGTCATTCACCATCCAAGGCGGTACGCATGTCGCGGTTGTAGGCCCTACAGGGGGAGGCAAATCGACTCTAGTCGCCCTACTCCTCCGCCTACTCGATCCCGCGATGGGCACCGTCACCCTGGATGGCATACCGATGGTGGACATTCCGCTGCATGTCCTCCGGTCCCATCTCGTTGCAGTCCCTCACGATGCCGCCTCATTCCCCAATAGTACTGTCCGCGAAGTTGTCGATCCCAAAGGCAGCCATTCTCGTGACGATATCATTCGTCTACTCTCGGACTTGGACAGGTTAGCCGGACTGCATAGTCAGGCACCTCTCGTCCTCGACGAACTTATTGACGAGCAGGTGGCACAAGGGACAGGGAGAGCACAACTGACTGCCTTAGCATCCGTGATACTCCAGAAACCACGGGTATGTGTGCTGGACGAGACACTGGGAGGCTTAAGCGTCCAAGCGGACGTTGAAGTTACCAAGATGGTAAAAGAGAGACTGAGGGGCAGCACCATGGTGGCGGTCACGCATCGCATGGAGGCTGCCATGCTGTTTGATCGAGTGCTCGTCCTTTACCAGGGCAGGATACAGGCTTATGGTGACCTCGTCGATGTGTGGAGCAAGAATGAATTCTTTAGAAAAGCGTGCGATAGAGACGGAGTTACGCTTGAGAAGATTAGGAAAGTCGGGATAAATAGTTGAATGACAAGAGAGATGTAGATAGGCTATGCTACTAATAGAAACTAATCGGCTCAGACAGCTCAGTCTTGGACTGACGGAAGTACGATGGTCATCAAATCGGACTCTCAGAATATCTTTTGATTTGATCCAATTCATACAGTAAGGTACTCGATGTTGCCTCTGAGGTGCCTTACCCCCGCGAAGATAACGAAGCTGGTGTGGCTGGGTGAAGATGAATGTCAGAAGCATGCCTTCCCTCGCACATACCTACCTAGTGAGTGGCATTCCGAGTGCCAAATTCCGAAGTAATCCCGCCCCCAGCCACACCTCGGTGAGACCCCAGGTGTCCCCAGACCTGTAGTGGGGCCGCATTGTTAGGAATGTGAGCCGAAGCTCCAGTTGAGAGCCGACTACATCGTGGAGGGGCTGCATCCTTCCACTGGCGACTCTGTGCGCGCAAATACACTCCCGATTTTTGGATGCGCCTTCCTCAATATTCAATCAACATCTTCCTTACACCCATACATCATAACATGCGATAACTGAGGCCAAAGGCTTCACCACAGCAACCATGTCTGTGATTCTTTGCACAGGTGAGTGCTCTTGAGCCTTGAGGGACCTTTGCTTCTTTGTCTCTGCCAGCAAGGCATTGGAATCGGTCATTAATCTTGTCTAAGCGGGTTACGACCACACCATCAGGTACGAAACGATTGAAAACCCGACCCCGATCGCTGAAAAATTGGGCGCCTTTGACTGACGCTCCTCCGAATCCAGGTTCTGGGAGGCCCTCTCGGGCATTTGCTCCCGTACGATCCAGCACCCAGATTCTCAGGTCAACCGCCTCTGCATCTCCCCCGACAAGCGCTTCCTCGCCGCCGCAGGCCACCACACGGTCAAGCTCTACGATATTAAGTCGACGAACCCGAACCCGCTGCTCACCTTCGAGGGTCACACTGGCAACATCACCGGCGTCGCCTTCCACTGCGAGGGCAAGTGGATGGTGACTAGCTCCGAGGATGGCACCGTCAAGATTTGGGAGACACGCAGTGGCCAGGTCCAGCGCTCCTACAACCACGGCTGTCCCGCCAATGACGTTGTGATCCATCCTAATCAGGGCGAAATCATCAGTTGTGATCGCCAGGGCAGCGTTCGCGTCTGGGACCTTGCGGAGAACAACTGCTCCCACCAGCTGATTCCCGAGGAGGACGTCTCGGTCTCGAGCGTCACGGTCGCTAGCGACGGCTCCCTACTTTGCGCTGCGAATAATGGTGTAGGTTCCTCCCAAATTACCCACAGATATGAAATGCGACACCAGAACTGACAAGCAATAGGGCAACGTATTCGTATGGCAGCTGCTCCAGGCCTACGACCGAACCCAGCTCCTTCCGGTGACTCACTTCAACGCGCACAAGGAGTACATCACGCGCATCCTCCTCTCGCCCGACGTCAAGAAGCTCGCGACCTGCAGCGCCGACCACACCGCCCGCATCTGGGAGGTCAAGGACCTTGAGCCTGCCCCCGACCAGGAGCCTAAGCCGTTCCCGCTCGAGGCCACCCTCACGGGCCACCAGCGCTGGGTCTGGGACTGCGCGTTCAGCGCTGATTCAGCCTATCTGGTTACGGCCTGTTCCGACCACTACGCCCGGCTGTGGGAGCTTCACAGCCAGCAGATCATTCGCCAGTACAATGGCCACCACAGAGGCGCGGTCTGTGTCGCCCTCAACGACTACTCAGAGTCTGCTAGATAACGATTTTGGGGGTTACTAGGGAGGGCACGGCACGTCTGCGTTGGTTGATTCATTGGTCTACAAAAGGCTTTTTTCAATCATGGCTTGTAACTTTTCTTCATTATGATATTCGGGGATTGGGTTGGCGGGGCGTCTGGACAGTCCTTTGTATCGCATTCACAGATGAGGCTGCGGCCGTCTGCATTACAAATCCTCAATTGGCAGGCTTTACTGCTACAAGAACATTACTTGCAAGATTATGGTATCCCACTCCCCTTTAACGCCGTGAATGCTGCAAAATTTGTCTGGTCTTGCCGCGATTGCTGCCTACCACCCGTCTCCCCATCCTTCATCGTCATCGTCGTCCTTTGGCTTCATGTCAATCTTCTTCGCTACCACAGGCTTAGCAGCCGGCTTCGACACCAGAGGCTTCTTCGCTGCTGTCGACGACTTTGAAAGCCCCTTTGGCAGCGGCTTGCTTCCTCCAGTCTTCTTTTGCGACTGCGCGGCCAGCCAGCCGGCAAAATCTGGCTCAGCACCGTCGTCGAACGGAGTTGCGCTGGCGGTAGTTGCCTTCTTAGCCGATGAGTTGCTATTGGCGCTTGGCTCTCCCCAACCATCGTCGTCTCCCAGATCGCCCCAAGCGTCTCCGCCGTCGTCTGCAGGTTCCGGGTTGAACGCGTCTGCCACGACCGACGAAGGCGTCCGCGACATTGGCGGGGGAGACTTGACCGCCTGGCGATGCAGAGCAGAGGCCGAGGACGTGGTCGGCCTCTTCGCGTCTGGGCCTGGCGACGGGGTCGGCTTCGGGGATGCAGCTCCTGAGCCATTGGAGGTCTGCATCTCACCGTTTGCCGTCGAAATCTTGTTGGTAAAAGACGAGATGGCCCATCCTGCCCAGGATGATGCCGAGGCCTCGTTGGGCTGAGGGGTGCTCATCCGAGGCCCGCCGGCGCCTTCTGCGGCCTGGGGAGGCAGAGCGGATTCCGGCATGTTGGAGGCGGCCTTCCTGACTTGCTTCAGGTAAACGTCCATCGTCTTGCTCGCCTGATCACGGATGACCTTCTCCTTGTCAATCAGCAACGGGCAGACCGCGGGCATTATTCTCAAAGCCACATCCTCGTCGGAGAAGCAATCCCCTGTGACGCCGAGAGCCATCAGCGAGGCATTTCGGGCGTGCACAAATGGATCACGCAGGGACCTAGTGAAGGCGGCGATGAGCACCTTGCTTCTCGAAGATATTCCAAGGTTTTTGGCAATCTTTCCCAGACAAATTGTGGTGTTTGTTCGGATGCCTGGTTGCTCGTCGTTGGCCGCCTTGGCGAGGTACTTGAGCAGCTCTCCGTTGATGGTACGATCTGACAACTTCCCAATAATGACCAAAACCGACTTCAAGGTCTGTTCTCGGACAACGGGTGCCACATCGGTGAAGCCAGTGACGAGCTGTGGGAAGATCTTGTCGTTGACCACTTTTTGTGTCAGTCGATCGATCATCAGAGGCAGGCTATCGAGAAGGCAAACGCGGATCGCTCGATCGGGGTTTGCGAATAGGCGGATGACGACGGGCGTAATCTTTGAGTCGAAATCCTCGTTTGAAAGCTTGGCTGTAATTTTCATTACGACACTGAAGGCCTTCGGTCCGCCGCCGCCAAACTCAACTGACTTGATGAGCTCCGGGAGGATCTTCATTTTGAAGAAGTCTTCGGGGAAATCATCCGTTAATTGATCGAGATCACTATCTGAGTCAGTTACATGCTCGCAATACTTGACGCCAAAAGACCTACTCGAGGAACGCCTCTCTCTCAGTCTCAGTCTTCACACCGAGATTCTCAATCCCCTCCGTTAATTTGATGAGGGGGCTATCGAAGAAAGATCCGCTTCGTTGTCCTTGTTCTAGGAAGTGGCCAACACTAACACGCGCCTTGGGGTTTGGGTTGACGAGTCGCTTGTAACTTTGTTGCATGGTCGAAGGAATGCTTTTCGTCTGGCCGGCTTGGTCAGAGCCCATGAAATCGCCGTTGAAGACTTCAAAGATCATACATCCAAACCCGAACGAGTCCACGGCGGAATGCGGGCTCTTCTTGATGGCATCCCAGCCACCACGTGCAAGCTCAGGCGGCGCATATCGGCCTGAATCCGGCACCAGGCTGCCGTATGTCTACACCTTGACGTGAGCGATGACATCCTCCAACTATGAGAAAGAAGACCTACGTAGATCACTGCTTCGTCGTCTTTCACGTTGCTCAGAACCTCAAAGCCACTCATCTTCCACTCCCCACTTTCAGATGTGTATACAGAGCCAACCCTTAGGTTGCCGTGTATTGACGAAGCTTCATCATTGATGAACTTGATGGTGCGCTGAGGAACAGTCAGTCTCCCTACCGACCTCGTTGTCGTTCCAACATACCGCGACGCTGCTCAACCCCCATTTTATCGTTTCTGGTGTGAGACTCTTTCTCTTCACGTGCCATCGCAGAGGCACCACTCGCTCGGTCGCAATGTAAATGTATGTATCGGTCTGTTTAGACTTGTGAGACAAAGCTCCGTATATTCGAGGGCCGCCCTTACCTCTACGGTATCTAACACCTTGATAACACCTGGGTGTCGTAACGTCCTCAGCTTTCGCAGCGCGTTCTTCGCTAGGGGTAGTCGGGACTTGTTGGCGGCAACATCGAAGGAGAAAATACTGCAGTTGGAACCGTCTTCCTGCCAAAGCGTGTTAGATGTTGGGTTGTCGATTGCATCGTCGGGTAGCTAGACGTACTCGCTTGGTGCCGTTGGTCAATGTCCAAATGGACTCGTCGATGTCCACCTTGTCGCCGAAGCTATAGGGGAATGGTGGCCCCTGAGCAATGGCAGAGGCCACCGCTGACTTGAGGAAATTCATTTTGTTCTGCCGAGTCCGGGCGCGTGTTCAGGAAGCCAATATCTGGTCAATCGGGAACTGATGGTCTTGAAATCGTAGATTTGGCGGAAGGAGCAACGCACGCGCTGCCAGTGCTAGGCAGGGAGCTTCAGGCAACTTGGCGACAAGATAGTGGACCGTTGACACTGGAACAGGGGACCACGAGCAGCAGCTCATGCCTGAAGATCCCCGCGCTAGGCTACCTATTTTGGATGGAGGGGTGATACGGGTGACAAATGATCCGTTCGCCGATGTTTTGGGTGGGCCCGGATGCGAATCGATGGTCGTCCCCGTCCAGGTCGTTCCGTCCGTTAGCGAAGCTAGGCAAGGATTACCCCTAGGTCCTCCAGTGAACTCAGGCAAGCGACCTTCATCAACCTCCACTGAACGCAACGCGAGGCGAGAGCCTCAGCAACCCATCCAGCCTTGCGACTCAACAAAAAGCTAGGTTTACCTTGAGCTGTCGCGCAAGCTACGAAGGGAGAACTTGATCACGACTCTGCGCGCCCACAACAAGACTACTACTCACTAACCTTCAACCCGGTCCCAAAGCCATTCCTCTTCATAACCCATGCCCAAGTGTCGTGCGCTGGCGGCCGAAGGCGCGACTCTGAGGGAGCAGGCGGTTCTCCAACGGGTAGGTGCGATTTTGCTTCTCTAAGCCCTCGATTTTCTTCCCCCAACCCCAACCACACTTTCTTACGCGCAGTGATGACTACTGGTAAAAGGTCCGATCGAAAAGGATTCTTCCGGGTTTGTTGTCTCATCTTGTTACCATTCAATGGCCGTTCCTGGTGGACGAGCCACGTCCTCATCCTCGCAAGGCTTTCGCCAAGCGAAAAGCATACGCGACAGACGGAGCTGCCCAAATACTGCAGTACACCAATTCGGGATTCGAGCAACGACATGAAAACGGCCTCATTTTGGAGTTCTGCTACTAGATACCCAAACGGAGTAGGACCAAAGGCTCAGGCAGACAAAAAAACCGGTTCAAGATGAGACTACGAACCCGCTGTGGTCCCCAATATGAAGACCAAAATGACTGAAAAGACCTGAGCGCACACCTTATTTTCACAGCTGTCATCATTTTGTTCCAATTCGTTTTGCAGGACCTTCCGGGTCCCGTCTAACGTCAGGTTGAACTTTAAGCTAACCTTACTTTAGTAGAACCCCCTGTCATGCACCTCTGGCACATAATCTCCAAATCCCAGACCATGAAAACAACAGAACCCACGATCATTGTGTACTTCTTGCTCAACACGTTGTTCTAAGGTTGCATTGACACGCGCCATTCAGCTCAATCTCTGCCAACGGTTTCCCGAGAGACCCAGGCAGCCAATCTTATCAACGTATCTTCGCTGCCTCCAGCACTTGAGCAACAGCCTTTGGTCCTCCAGAGCAGGTCTGGCCAGGCAACAAATCTTTTGAGATCCACAAACCCCGATCCTGTATCCTTTGAAACTCATCTCAGCAAGTTGACAGAATCGATATATCTTCATGAAGGCCCAGGCTGTGAGGAGATGGAGTCCTTCGGTCAGCAGTCTACAAAACGGTGTGTCGAAGACGGGTGCAATTCCGCGGCTCTTGATGGGGCACGTTGCCTTAGTCATGGGAAAGAACGACGTCAAGCAGATAAGAGAATTGCTCGAGCCAATGCTACGCATCTTGCTGCCGGCCCATCTGGACGCGGACCTCAAAGGCCCCTAGCGGTGCAAAACCCATCGCAGAAAATTGGGCGACCCAGAGACGACGAGCAGTCAAGAAGCAGCCAGCCTCATTCTCGGAGCGGTAACCTTCGAGACGAGCCAGCACACGCTCCTCATAGCGCCCAGGACACAGTCAGAAGGACGAATCTGCCGCCAGATCTCGTGGGGAAATTAGCGATGACAGCCAGAAAGACGGCTGGGACAAGAGCTCCTTTCAGGAAGCGCACAGAAGAAGAGACGCATTCAAGCTTCCAGACTACTTCTCCGCAGACTCACGTTCGTGAGTTTGGCTCGCCAATCAATCATGAAGCTCTCCCTCCTGGCACGTTCAATCCTTTTCGGTCGCTTCTGAATCCAGTGCACTCGCCATCGCAAGACCAGACAAAGCGATCTCCTGGCAGTGTCGACACAGCCCAGCGCATATCACAGCCGTCCGCAACGGTTGAGCATGTGCAAAACGGGAAAAGGAAGTCGTGGGGCTTCACCTCGGCACAGCCTTCTCCAGGGGGGTATCGACCCGGTCAAAGCTCTCGAGCATCTCAACAGCCTGCAATTATGCCAGGCACTAAGAACGCGTCGCATATCACCCGCGATTTGAGCGCTCACCCGGATACTGAAAGCCATAGAAGTCTATCTGCGGGAAGAACTTCCACTGCACCGTCGGCATCTGCGTTATCTGGGAATAGAAGCTTTGATACGCTGCCTCACATCAGTACTAAGAGTCTGCCGCCAATGCATGTGAAATCGGCTCCATCAGCATCACGCTCCGCTTCAACAAGTAGGTTTACGTCTTCGGCCGGCAAACGGAGAAGGCTTGATAGTACCGACTCGACGTCCGAATCGTCATCATCATCATCCTCGTCGTTTGGCTCTTCTGATGACGAGGATGACCATAGAGCTCCCGAGCAAGCGAAGGTAGTCGTCGGACAACCCCGTCCGTCCACTTACCTTGGTGCCGCAGCGACTTCAAATGCTTCTCGATCCTTGGCTTCTTTCGGACTTCCTGGTGCCAATCTTGAAGCATCACATTCACACTCATTGAGAAATGAGGATACCACTCGTCTGGGAGCGGTTTTCAGGCCTATTGTTCTCAGCTCTTCCTCTGACGAGAACGAAGATGGTGGACGGGAGAGAACTGGGAGGATACGGCAGCCAAATCTTGCCAACGGGCAGAGTCATCATCACGCCCTCCGCAAAACGAAGAAATTGACCTGCGAAGAGCGTCGACTACAGCTTTGTGCCGACTTCGAATTCACAAAGTTCGACGCCATGATATATAGCCAGTCCGACGCCACGAGACCTCCTCTTGGGGTGTATACTCTGTCTGCGCCAATAGAGACGTCGAAAGGAGCCTCGACACCTGGTGCATATGACAGCCGCTTCCATATGAAGCTTGACCCCCGCATCCACTGGCCGTATAATCGCAGTGACCAGTGGTATAAGTCGAAGATGGAGGAAGTCAAAGCTCGAGGTGGTCGGAAGGCAAACTTTGGCAAAGCAGCCAAGCGCATGCGACAGCAGCGTTTGGCAGAAGAGCGCCAGGAAGAGGAAGAAAGATTGGCCGTCTCTCGAGGCGAGCCACCGCAGGTCAACAACTCGCCGCGGCCGTGGTCACACCACAGGCCTATGGACTTTGGCGATGTCCCTGAGGAGGAGTTGCCAATCTACGTCAGGAGAAACGAGGAGTGGTTACGGGGGGCGGCCTGGATGCGCAAGATGCGTGAGGAGGGTCAGCGGAGGGACGCTCGTCGTGCCGCTGGGTTCTTCAAAGAACAACTCTCCTCAAATGGTCGATAGCCCGACTCCGGCCCGACGTGTTCAGTACTATTATCAGTACAGCCGGCCACGGGCTGTTATTCTGTGTTGCTACTCATCTTTACTAGCCATGGAAAGAGCGAGAAAGGGACAGGGAATGCTCAGCATGGAGTTTGGGCTGCATTTTGTTTCCTTAGCTTATTTCATATTGATGATACCAAGATCTCGCCGCAACTCGGCTAGGTCTACACGCATAATTTCGGAGTTGTCAGGAATGGTACGGAGGAATTATATCTCCTCTCTTAGGCCGTTGCGAACTTACCTTGGAGCGGCATTGTCTTTTCTTTCTGCCATGAATGACGACAAGCAGTCGTTAATCATGCACTAACCAGCTGCCTCGGTAGTACATAGATCACCTACAAAAACAGGATTATGACAACCTCCAAGTTCCAATGTCTACTCAGTGACTGTCGTCGTCTTCTAAAATTTTGGCATTTTACCCGAAAGCCCACATTTTGTATTGAAAAGTTCAAGCAGGGCCGTGAGAAGATGAATATCTACTTGAACATGGGACGAAGAGGTAGAGCGCGCGTGCGCCTTCGTGATGGGGCCCAGTGTTTTAGGCTTATTTGGGCTTCCAACCACAAATGCAGTGCATGAATTTGCTCCACGGACTCGACCTTCAATCTTTAGGTTCCCCATCAGCTCGCTACATGCCCGAATAACCACAAAGCTGCAGCGCAACGACGAAGAACTCGCTCACTCCTCGCTCACTCGCAATTAAAGCCTGAAAGCCATTGATACTAAGCAGACAGCCTCATCATGGCGTCCACGCAGCTCCCCCTGGAGACTCTATCGACCTGGGCCATGTTCAATGACGTAGACCTCGTCGACGTCGAGGCCCGCGAGATTCCAGGCTGCGGCCTGGGTCTACTTTCGAATAAGGAGCTCAGTCGAGAGGAAGAGACCTTTGACATTCCGACCTTGCTCAGGATTCCCGGGGAGCTGGTTTTATCTGCCGAAGCTGTTGAGAACTATGCAAAGGTCGACAAGAACTTTCGGCAGCTGCTCGAGGCTGCAGGTCACAAGGTAGAGTGCTCCCCGAATTGATATGGACCTTAAAAGCTAAGGGACTATCCATCTTCTCAATGTAGTCAACTCGACATGATGTCTGCCTCTTTCTGCTCACGCAGAAAGTACTTTCCGATAGGCCTAAGACGTCTTTGAAGGGCGGAGTCTCGACGCCGTGGACAGAATACGTCAAGTACCTGCCGCCGCAAGTTCCTGTTACCACACTCTGGACAGAGCAGGAACGTGAAATGTTAAATGGAACATCACTTGAGGCAAGTACTTCCCTTGCCTTCCTGACCTGCCTTCCTCCCTCCATGACTACCCCCTTCCCTTCAAACCAATATCCCGGTTGTCGTTGGTTAAGCATGGTTCGTCCAACCTCCACCTTTGACAACAGTTAATATCACTTCACAACTTTCTTGGGATCATCCCCAGACGAAGACCTCACTCGCCAAGAATTGCGGCGCAAAGAGACCATCGCAAGGCCAGGAGACTATAGCTATCGCTTTGGAGTCATGCTCTAACAGAGACCAGTCGGCCACGGCTGCCAAGATTGTTGCGTTGACCGACGAGTTCGATGAGGTCCGCGAGATCTCTTCCACGCTGCCATTCTGGAACGAGCTGTTTTGGGAAAGCGACAAGGTGTCACTCATCGACTGGGTTCGGGTTGACGCGTGGTTTCGGTCCCGATGCCTGGAGCTACCCAAATCAGGCGAGGCCATGGTCCCGGTGCTAGACTTGGCAAACCATTCATCCAATGCCAATGCCTACTACGAAGAAAACGGCAAGGACGAGGTAGTACTACTTCTGCGACCCGGCTGCAGGGTCTCGTCTGGGGACGAGATGACGATATCCTATGGGGATGCGAAATCCGGGGCAGAGATGCTCTTCAGCTATGGGTTCATAGACCCCGCGTCAGCCGCCGACCGGATCACGCTGCCCTTGATACCCATGGAAGACGACCCACTGGGCAAGGCGAAGCTGCACGTCTTTGAAGGAGCACCGACTGTGGAGTTTGTCCGGACGAATGGTTCACTCAGCTGGAAGAGCCCCTTTGCATACTTTATGTGCCTCAACGAGGAAGACGGCCTGTCATTCCGCGTTTTGCAGGACACCGGAGGTTCACGGGAGCTAAAACTATTCTGGCAAGACGAGGATGTGACCACGACAACAACGGCTTTCGAGCAACACATCGATGGACATCCCCTGGCCCAAATCTTCCGTCTTCGGGTGGTTTCCGTCTTGGGAGATCTGGTGGGCAGCCAGCTTGAGCGACTGGCCACTGGCATGTCTTTGGAAGACCTGGACGAATCTCTGAACCAAGGGGGTCTTGTTTGTGGTACATGCATCAGTGCAGCTGCAACGCTGAGAGAGCAAGAGACTAGCTTGCTAGAAGCTGCCGTCAAGGCTATAGAAGACCAGGTCAGTGGTTTGCTATTCTTCATCGCCGGTCTCCTGTCAGTGCCAGGGCTGCAGACGAATCTTACGATTCTCTGCCCACTTCACTCCTCAATCTTTCTGCCATTCAGAGTCCTGCAATCCTTCTGGACTTCTCCTACAATCGATTACCCCGGAGCCCCGTCTCAACTGCACATTTCCCCCGCGTGAGGCGCCAAGACTAACAAGGATGGGTGATGTGCCCCAACCTTGCAGAAAACAGAACTCCTCGCAGACGAAAACGTGGTGGCTTATCTCGGGTCGATGGAAGATGCCCAAAACGACCTAGTCCTGGAAGAGATGTCCAATGAAGACGAAGACTTCAGTTAGAGAGGGAGGGTCAGGCGAAGCCATGCGGCCGGGTCGATCCATTCGGCAGTCATAATATCGGGCGCAGACTTGGTCATGACGGCGCCTATCCAGGGCAGACTCAGAGAACGCCGTTGCGGAGCACTGAGCGGCTGCTGCAGAGACGAGACTACGGAGCCATGCAGACGGCCTTATTCTTGGATTGCGAGCTTGTTCGGAATTACTGCGACGTCTTGTCCTGCGAAGCTTACGGAATCCCATCAAAATACAATTTTGTTCCCTTGTATGGGATAGTATACGGGGTTGACATAGGCGAGTTGTGTGCTGCACCCAACATCCGGATACCCCGCGCTTGCTGGTCTCGATGCATATATAACAGTCGGCGCGGCGCCATCTCACGGAATCTGACAACAGTACTGGGAGGCCATGGTACCACAAACGGACGCCATCTGCATGTCACGAACGAAGCCGGGGTGTTCTAATTTCTTCGCCGGCATGTACGGGACGTCTCGAAAGCCCCTCGTCCTACCGAGGGGCGTGAGGCTCATCGAGGCTCAGGCTTAGCGGGCGGACGACGACTTCATGGTCGGACCTACGTGCAACGGAGATCGACGTAGGTGGGCCGTCTCCGGATTGAACTTCCAGGACTCGATTATTGCTCGATTGGTTCGCGACGTGACATTTTGCACTGCTTCGCACACCAAAGGACGAGTGGCAGCAAGAAACACAGCAGGTGTGTTTGGACAAGGAGCCAGCGACGGGGGATGCCACGCCGAGCAGAATATGATCCGCGCCGTGTAGGAGAGACCCCTGGACCGACCTTTTGCATGAAAGAAATGCCAAAGGGCGGCAGTCGGGTTGCGCATGGTGCAGACAGCAGAAATACTCAACACAACATAAAGACTTTACGACTTTGATGTTCCTATTGTTTCCGGCACCTGCAGCTCAACGAATATCTCCGATAAGAGATGTCAGCGTTCCAACGTGCGATGACCAACGGTGGAGCGTGGGGAAGGGACTACGAGACGAGAAAGCACCATTCTCCGATTAAGTCTTGGTCTATGTGAAGGCCCCAGGGACGCCCAAACAGGAATTCTTCGAGAATCGAGAGTCGAGACGAAGTAAGAAAGTGGCGTGGTTTGGACAACTTCTCTTGTCTCATGTTTCGGCCGGCCTTTTGGACATGACAGGAGACGTTCATTCATCCGATTAACGGTATCCGTAAAATGGTCTCTTTTTGGCTTTTTACACAAATGTCCATATCGGCTGGGATGGGATTGTCATCGTTGTCTGGAGTTGACGAGACAAGTCCGCTTTCCGAACAGGACCGAATTCTGTTTGGAGATGCTGGGAGTAGCCCAGTGAATAAAGGGTGGCACGATAAATACTCGGAACAGGAGGGAAAGCAAACTCACACATTTGCGATGTCGAGCATTGAGCACGCGAACATTCGAGACAGCCTCCTTGAGCCTCGACTGCTCGAGGCTCGAGGAAGTGTCCAGCTCGCAAGTTACAGGTACCGCTGACCCGAAGCCCGGACTGAAGTGAAGGTGGGCCCGCCCGAGAACGGCGCGGAATGCGGGCAGGGGATAAAGTTTTGCAATTGCGGTTCCGCAAAGATAGCGTGGTTTTCTTCCATCCCCAACGCCAACGGCGTCGACGGTGTGACACGTTTGGATGGGGGATCCGTTTTTGGCGGACTCACGTTTACCGACTAGCTGGCGCCAGTTTCAATATCAGCGGGTCTTTTCATTGCATCACCAAATCGTCACTCGAGTCAAGACGTTGGATAGGTATGTACGTGTCTAGAGTGGCATTGGGGCATTTTACCATCTCGGAGTTTTTGAACTCTGCCTGGTACAGCCAGAATTCGAAGACCTTTGTGAGGTTGGCGACACAACAGATACACTGGCTTGCGGGCCGGGTTAACCAGGATGACGGCTCTTGGTCTGTGTAAGAGGTCGTGACGTTGAAAACTAGGCGTCATCTGTCAATGATGAAATGCCAATAGGTGCCAACAGGTCTCGAGACAGCGAGCATCCCGTCGATCGCAAGAGACCCGTCAGTCTAGTCATGGCTCGCCTATGTTTATTGGCTGCTCACCGCAAGGTCGGGGCCAATATTGACGACTATCACAACTAAGCGCTCAGACTCGATAGGCCTCAAAGACCGCTACTCCCTACAGAGGTGAAGAATTGGTCCAGTTTGCGTGGCAGGCGTGGGCCAAGCAGCATTTCGTCCCAGGCGGCGGATCATTGGGGCCACCAGTGACGAGGCAGTGATCGTCGACTGAGATGACCCAATGCGATAGGGATATATGGCGAAAATGGAGGACCCGGAACCAGTGTAACGGCACCAGGGGCCTTGCCCCGGATTTCTCCCCCAGTTTCCTGTGGCCTGCGCCCCAGTTCGAACCCCAGGCGCCCCCCAACAGGCAGCACGCTCCCTCCTTTTCCCCAGGTCCAAGTGGGCTGTTCCTACTTTTGCCGAACATCAGACTCGCAGCTTGTGTATCCGTTGTTTCTTTGTTCCCGAAATCTGCCCTGAACCGAGAGGAGATGGGAAAATGAAACCTGGGAAAATGAAACCTGGGGAAAGACGAAATGGGTGGTGGCGGAAAGGAGTGGTTGGTCGGTTGGTTGGAGCGAAGCGGCATGAGCATGGAATTAACGACTCGCGAGGAGACGCTTGCGCATGACACTGGGCTGACAACGGAACGGAACTCTGGGGGCGGATCCGCCCCGCGTCCAAAATGGTCTAGAGCTTTCTTTCCGTCAGATTGTCGTCGGCGCCTGTTGACTTTTGAGGTCTGGAGAGACCGGATGGTCGTCTGGATACTTTGGGGCTGAATTTGGCGAATGCCCCCTCCCCTGCTTCTAGGGACTCGGGTGGTGTCATGTCTGCGTCTGCTTAGCTGCTTCGAAGGGCTGAATGGCGAGATGAAGAGAGAAATGTTGTTCCCAGAGACACGGTACGACGGCAGGGCAAGCGAGCGCGTGTTTGCGCGGGGTATTGTACTTTGGCGACGCTGTCAGGCTGCGGGCATAACAGCAGACGGGCACACATCATGTCGTCGCATGGCGTTGATGGACACGTTTATCGTGGCGGACAATCGGTGTGGTGGTGTGCTTCTGTTCTGCTTCTGGCTTCTCGCTGGCGCCTGTTTCTGGAGTTGAGATCTTGTCAGTCATCGAGTGTTACCTGGCTGGGTACGGTACCTACCACAGCCAAGTGACCATATGAGGAACGGTACTTCGGGTAAGACGCGAGTTGACCAGAGAAGCGAAGTACTCGTACTTCACTCTGCACTCTAGCGAGCAAGGTGGTATTCAATTGCCAGTTGGTGATTGGCTCCCCCTCACTTTTGTTAGCGTGCATCTGTGTACTTCCTAGGTGGTTTCCCACCTCCAGGCTCACCCCAACTTTTCCTCAACACCAGCGCCGGCGCGAGGGGCGCCCGGCAGACCCCGGGCTGCTCTTCCCCCAGATTTCTCTCCCTTCAAGGGCCCTTCGCTTACACAGTATTGGTCAGTGATGCAGATTATCCAGTGCGAGAGCCGGCCCGGGACCCACCAGTACCTAAGGTACTTTCGCTCAACAGCGGTACCTTAGCCAGAACCGAGCAGAAGCAGTAAGGTAGGTACCTCAGTGTAAGTAAACGACGGTAGGCAGTTCACCATTTCTGGTGCATTCCAGTGGGGAAACGAATTGGCTGTTTCTAGGTACCTACCTACCTTAGCTTTGAAGCCCACCCCCGGTCCCGCCCATCGTCCACGGGGTCTTCACGTCTTGTTCTAGGTAGGTGGTACTGTACTTGTAGCCTAGGTAGTGTACCTTAGCAGGTACCGTCCCCGGCCCCATCTCCCCACGATTCATCTTGTAATTACCGCGTTCCTAGCAGCAAATCCTTTCGGTGTGGTGTCCTGTGTCCAGCGGCCAGCGTCCAGCGTCCAGCGTTCCCAGTCGTGGTGTCCATTTTGCTACTAAGAGACTCCACAGTCTCACCTCCCTCTCCCTCACGACCATCTTCCACTTCTTCTTTCCCTTTTCCCCTCACACACACCCCCGACTCCGCCCTCCGACCCAGCATCTCTATTGCTCTTCTTCTTTTTCGACCTTGCAACACAGTTTACCTATTATAGGTACTGCTCACCCGCCGCTTCCGAGTTGTAGACCAGTCAAAATCTCCACTCTTCTCCTTTTCTTGTTTCTGTTGCCATCTTTGCCATCTTGTTTGGGAAGATTTGTGTTCTCGCGGACCTGCTTTCTTAGTGACTAAAGATACCACCTACCTGCAACAACCCCCAACGACGACAACGATTTACGAAACCACCCGGTGATCACTCTGGAAAAGACCTGTGATTCAGCTGTAAACGAATATTCAACCTGCCGCGCACCCGTCCAAAATACTCAAAACGAGCCGACCAACGACGAATCCAAAGAACAGAAAAAAGCCACCGCCGAAGCCTCCGAGGCTGACCTAGTCAACGCCAGTCATCTGTCTTGAATTGCCAATCGCCGGACAAACCACCAGAAAGCAACATCCAAACGTAGAAAGGGAAAACCGCCACCATGCCTGGAATATTACCCATGAAGGTGATCAAGGTGGGCACCAGCTCGCAAAGCCGCATAGCACAGGCTTGCGACCGGTGCCGGAGCAAGAAGATCCGATGCGACGGAATCAGGCCGACATGCTCGCAATGCTCCAACGTTGGCTTCGAGTGCCGCACCAGCGACAAGCTGAGCCGTCGCGCATTCCCCCGTGGCTACACAGAGTCTCTCGAGGAGCGCGTGCGCCAGCTGGAAACCGAAGTTAGGGAGCTGAAGGACTTGTTGGACGAGAAGGATGAAAAGATTGACATGTTGTCGAGGATGCACGGGAATCACAGCCACACGACCATGCGCAGCCCTTCCGTCGCGGCATCAGCGCAATCGCCGGCGTCGGCATCGGACGGAAGAAAAGACGCTGGGGCGCCGGCCAAGGAAGATACTTTCCGCGTGCAGGCGTCGCCGTTGTTACTCGGCGTCGAGAATTCGGATTCGTACTTTATGGGCCCTTCCAGCGGCCGTGCCTTTATCGGTTCGTACTGCCCTTCCCATGCGCCTACCCGTTCGTCACGCCTCCCGGAGAGGCGGCCCGAGCGATGTAGATACGAGAACAACGGGCTTTTGGGCTAACATGGAATACAGAGGCTTTCAAGCGCAAGATGCAAGAAAATGGCAAGTCATGCTCAGATTTCAACCCGGAAGCGTTTCTGCATATCCAGGGGTGCCATCCCTTGACACCAAAAACACCCGATCAGTCGCTTAAAGTGCCGCCGCGTTTGTTCTCAGACCGCTGCGTCAATGTCTACTTCCAAGAATGGGCACCGTTATTCCCCGTATTGCACAAGCCGACGTTCCTCCACATCTATGAGGAGTTCGTATCAGACCCGGAAAAGGTGAAGAATAACCACAAAATTGCCCAGCTATACCTCGTCTTTGGCATCGCGGCACTTGGTAGCGACCAGCCCGATCTCGAGCAGATCGCGGCGTGTGAGCAACAATGGCAGCGAGCTGTCGAGGCCGTCCTCATGGAGAACACAATGGTGAGCCTGCAATGTCTCGAGTTGGCTCTCTTGTACTGCATCGTGAGGGCGGATTACAAGCGCTTGCAACACTACAAGGGCATTGCCGTGGGGTTGTCCCACCGCCTCGGCCTCCATCAGAGCCAGAAGCGCTTCTCTTTCGGCGCGCTCACTATTGAGACCCGCAAGAAGGTCTTCTGGACTCTGTACACATTGGATTGGTGAGTGTATTTACCTGAAGATCAAGAAGAGGCTTCGACTAACGGCTATAGCTTCTCTGGTGCCATTCTTGGACTGCCGAAACTGCTCAAGGAGGATGAGATCCACACTGAGTATCCTTCAGACACAGACGACGAGTACGTGACGGAGAAGGGCTTCCAGCCGACGCTCCCTGGCGAATACACCCGCTTGTCGAGCGCGCTCGCCCTCTTCCGCTGCTGCCGAATCCTGGCCAAGGTGATGGAAAAGAACTACCCGGCGGCCACTTCTCACGAACTGTCGCTGCAGTCAATGTCTGCCATGGAGGCCGAGCTCGACGAGTGGAACGAGTCACTCCCGACACATCTCAAGCTCACCTTCAAGCAAGACAAGCCTTCGACTGATGTAACCGGAAGCCGGTCGCCATTGCTTGCTCTTGCATACTACTACACCAAGATTCTCATCTTCCGCCCTGCTGTAGGCTCCTCACTCGGTCGCAAGGCCGCGCCCGCATTGATATCAATCGGCGAGTCCAGCAAGCACCTTGTTCAAATTGTGCAGCTTCTTGAGGAGCGCAGCATGACTTTCTCCTTCTGTCTCAACAAGACGGATACCCTCGTCCTCTGCGGCATGACTCTCATGTACCAGAGCTTCGAGCTGAAGCCAGAGAGCAAGATGCTCAAGGATGTTGAGCGCCTCGTCAACAGCGTCCTCCATATTCTCACAAAGGCCAAGGCACCTGGCTCCTTTGATCTCAAGCGTGTAGCCGGCCTCCTCATTCGACTCGACGAGCAGAACCTGCCCACTCCACCACAAGAGACTCCAGAAGCATCCGCGTCTATGCCCGCCCCGCAGAGATCTTCGCCGCCTGCGCCAGCTGCTAAGAAGAAGTCTCCTCAACGGACTCTGGGTCGTCTTCCGAGTGCCGCCGCCAGCGAAAGCGATCTCATTCAGCAACAAGAGAAGATGCGCCGCATGACCATGTCCAGTATCCAGAACCGCCCAGAGCTGTACCGGTCCCGCTCGAAGCCGTCATTTGACAACTTGCAGCAGCAGCAGCAAGACATGCCTGCGCGGCGGGACCAGCGTCTTTCCATGTCGCAAATCACTAGCCGCATCCGCACGTCCTCCAAGCAGAATCTCGACTATCTGTCTTTGAATAGCACACCGAACGGCTCATCGCCTCCATCACCGACCACAGCCCGTTTACACCAACACATCCTCGCCGCGGCGCACCAGAGTCTCTACGCGCAGCAGCAGCAACAACAACATCATCAGCAACAGCAACCCCAAAAGGTGTCCGGCGTATCATCCTCTGAATGGGAGGCCCTCCTCGGCTCCATGGATGGTGGTCTGAACAATGTCTACGACGCCATCTACGGCGGCGGTGGCGGCGCCATTCCCAACATGGGAGAGACGCCCGCGTCATCGTCGACAGGGCTCGACAGCTGGAGTCCTGATAGCTGGGACCTGGCCAACTTCAACATTGGTGACTTTGGAACGAACCCGGCGCCGCCGCAGAGTGTGTTGAGCGTTAGCGAGGAGAGTCTTTCGTCGGGCGAGGACCTGGCTACAAGCGATTTGAATCTGAGCGTCAGTAGTCTGGAGTATCGGAACGCGTTGCTCGCGTCTTGTAGCGGCAATGGGAATGGTGATGGGTTATTTTTGGATGGGCTTGATGGGAATTACGGGCTTTGAGCCGGAAGGTTACTTAACGGCGTGACTTGAGTGTTTAAACAGCGAGGGCCTTTGATGGGCATGGGATGTTTTATGAGAGGGGATTTATATATCTAAACGGTCTGGGAAATGTGAAACTTAGCAAGCTCTTGGAAATGAATATTGATTATCTCTTGTTATTCTGAAGGAACTCCCTGGTTGCAAGATTATTGTTTGGCTTTTGCACATTGTGATTATCTCACGACTGGCTGTTCTCACCGTTCCTGAAGCTTTTCTGTTAGTGAGACAGGACGAGGTGTTACGCGTTGTTTTCTCCCACGTAGGGGATTCCATAGAAAGAGAGAGAGAACTTGCCCAGGTTTTGTCTCCTTCACGGCTCACTCTAAGTAAATAGGAGCTCTATGTATATACCATCTCCCTCCAACCTCTCCCTCCTATCTTCAGCGGGCTTTAAATCTCTCGTTGCCTTTCGGTGCCATCTTCGGACGCTTCGCAATGCTTGGGCACACTCAACTCAGCTATCATGCCAGTGTAATATTGCAAACTATTGGCAAGACCGCTGTCTAGAGGAATATGTTTATTTATGTCTTTCCATTGCTGAGCTCTAGAATCTTCTGCAGGACTTCGCCTGGCTCCTTATCTCACCTCGGGATAGGTAATTAGTGCCATCTCTGTTGCTCCCTCTCCCTCTCGCTATTGAGGCAAACTCCTTTCTTTAGACTTGCATCATAGTCATCATCCGACTCAACTCTACTCTCTACCCTCTCCCCCCTCTTATCCCTAGGTTCGTACTTCTTCTAGACTCACTTCTCTCTTCCGTAGTCTTTCTCTATCCCACGAGATCCATCAACCTAACCAGCTTCTAGAAAACAGCGACAATACATCGTCCCAAACACCCCACCCCCCATCTCACAACTTCAACGCCTTGGCAGCCTTCGGCCCCGGTCCCACGACCCCGAACCGCGCAACCAGCATCAGAATAGGCGTAAACACAGCCACGAGGACCTGTATCCCCGCCACCTCGAGATACAACCTCGCAGTCCTCTTCCACGTACCGTCGCGCACCCGGCCCGTTCGTCTAGCAACTCTCGCCTTTTCATCCTCCTCGTCTGTAAGCGTAATTTCACCACGCTCTCTCGAAGCCGACGCAGACCCAGACCCAGATGTAGAAGCAGACGCAGAAGCAGCGCCACCCTTCCCTTCCCACCGTCGACAAACCTCCCGAAACAACTCCGGATCATCCGTAATCACCCCGTCCGCAGCGGCACGAACACTCCACTCCATCCACTCCTCGTCATTCACCGTCCAGACAAACAGCTGTCTGTTATGTTTCTTCACGTCCCGAATAAACAGCTTGCCGACGGGCCCGACGAGGGACTTTTGAAACATGTTGAAGGAGAGGTTGGGCTGTTTCGGCGTGAGGAAGTTGCGGGCGTAGAGGGGGGACCAGGAGATGAGGGAGATTGGGTAGGTTGGGAGGATTGTGCGGACGTGGGTGATGTAGGGTTGCTTGATGCTTTGTGTTAGTACCCGTTTTGCTTTGTGAGAGAGAACTGTGGTGAGGACTGGTGAGATGGTGGAGGGAGAGAAGGTGACTTACGTTCCAGCATCCAAAAACTATCCTCTCGTTCCACGGTACGGGGCCCGGCGTGGAAGCTAGGACGTCGGCTACGCGGCCGAGGAGTTGTGCTGGTGGGTCGTCGGTCTATACACGTTCGTCAACGTCAGCTCTTCATCTTCGTTTCTCAGCAACGTTCGCCCCCCTTTCCGAGATCTCTTCCCCTTTCTTCAAACTCTCCCCTTCTCTTCACCTCTTAAATCGACACCTGAATCACAAACACAACCCCCCAAAACACCAGGAAAACCATACCTTGATATCAAGCAAAACCCAAACCCCCTCCCTCCCCACCTCCGAAAGCAACCCCAACAGATCCTCCAACCTCGGCATCCTCTGCCTCGGCTCCCTAACCGTCTCAAGCGTTTTAAGGTAATCCCAATCGCACTCGTTGATTTTCGTATCCTCGATTCCAAAACACCGCTTCAGGTTCCCGTCGTGGGAGAGCACTACGACGCCGTCGCGCGAGAGGTGCAGGTCCGTCTCGAGGGCGTGGGCGCCTGCCTCGTCGAGCGCGGCGCGGAAGGCGAGGATGGTGTTTTCGGGGTATTGGGCTTTGAAGCCGCGGTGGGCTATTGCTTGCGGGAGGCGGGCTGGGGTGGTCTTGTTGGTGGTGGTGAGTGAGAGGGCGGATGTAAAGTGTGCTGCGTTGTTGGGACTTTTGTTAGCCATTGGAACTTTGGGGAGGACGACAGTTCGTAGGAAAGAGAGAGAGATAGATTGTACCTGGCGGGCTGAGAGACTCGTCCCCGAGGAGGGGTTTCGTTTCCGGAGTCATTGCCGCTGCTGCTTGATGTCCTCGTTGTCGCATCTAGATTCTATAGTATTTGGGGGTTGCGTCTATTGATAGCGGACCAGCCTTAGTGTGAGGCACTCTCTCCTGTCCAACGAGATGGTGGTCTATGAGTATAGTATCCGAATAGTATTAGGCACAAAGGTATGCGCCGAGGAGAGGGAGGAGGAGAGGATTATGAGTCTACGTGAATTCACCGACGGAACGATGACATTCTCTTGGGTGGGGGAGGGGGGAAAGAAGAAGTCAAGACTAATGGAACTAATGAACGTAAAGTAGTCGTCGCATACTCTAGTGCATACGGAATCGGGGAGCTTTACAGGTCACGAAGACTTAACCCCGTAAAAGCCGCGCGCGGTCGTCGTGGATCAATGTCAAGGGAACGCGCGCTGGTATTGACGACGACGACGAACATTGTTCAGCAAAAGATTGTGAGACAAGACGTACAGCTAGCTGCCTCGCCCTACGTAGCTGGCGGGGTGGTGTGCTGTACCTCGGAGCAATTCGAATGCGGTCGTGCCGGTTCGCTTGACCCCATGTGCAGAAGCCCAATGCGCGCCGATGGGGTCGCTGAAGCTTAACCCGGGGTGCGAATTTGGGATGGCTTCCGCGACCCGCGGGGCGGACAGCATACCTGGGCCGCTGGGCTGGCGCATCCATTGCCCCGCAGGACCAACTGCTCAGAGGCTTAGAGCTCACCCGGCAGTGAGCACCAGACCATCGGCGCGGGGCGAGACGTTAAGTCCGACCCCGCGGTGGGCGAGTCTGCAGTAGCGTCCCGCGTATCCCGTTCTACTATGTACTTCCAGGTTCACTTGGACGGGAATCAATGGGCCTCATGTCCAGGATACGGCCATTGGAGTAGTGTGGCCAGAAACGTATGTGAATGGCTTAAAATCAATGATATCAACGAATGCTCGCGCAGCCTGTTTCATTCTTGTCTGCTCTATCGCGTCGATTGCTTCGCTCACGCAGAGAACCCTCCCTGCCAAACGCTTTTTTTCTACTCTACAACCACTGCGCTGGAAAGGTGCCTGATGATGTTGGGCCTCTGTATCCGTAGACCCTCTTGTGCCCCCTTATAGCAACTTTTATCGCAACCTGCAACAAGTCTCCAGCCCGGCTAATTCCCCCTCGCAGTCATGTGAATATTCCCCTCCGCGAAACAGAACTTTAGTCAATGTCAATGTCAATATCGAGATCCAGGGACCCGATAATGTCATCGTCCATGAGCGGCTTGTGAATCGTCGGGATGCCCTTCTTCTCCTGGTTCGCAGCCTGCAACTTGACCAAGTTGGGCAAAAAGTTCTTCTCCTGGGCACCCATCTTGGGCGTGCCGTTGGCGGGTGTGCTCGCGTTGCTGTCCTTTGCCTTCTTGCCGCTCTGATCGTTGGCGTCGTGGATGAACTTTGCCTTTGTCCGCAGCCGCCGTGACAAATCGTTCTTGATGTCCTCGCCCCTCTCTAGCGCCGCCTCTAGCTTGCGCGCCTCGGCCTTCTCCTTGAGCTGTGCTCTCCTAACGTTCTCGGCGTTCTCCAAGCGGCGTTGGCGGTTAATGTTAGCTAGCCGGTCCTGCTGGGATGCCGCGCTGGGCTTGGACGAGGTGTCGCTAAGGCTCGTCTTAAAGGCCAGCACGTTCGTCTTAAGATCGTCGAGCTGCTCTTGCAGATCCTCTGCCTTTCTGGTGTTCCCTTGTGCGCGGGCGACCTCGATGTCTTGGGCGAGACGCTCGCGCAGCTTGGGATCGAACTTCTTGCGGAGCGCGGCCTTGCGCTGGATGCGCTCGTCAATCTCGGTGGTGGAGAGATGGTACGCGATGAGCGCGTTGATGTCGTCAATCTTGTCCATGAGGGTCTTCTTCTTGGGCAACGTCAGACCCTCGGACTGAATGACCTTTTCGTAGCGATTGTATTCACGCTATTTTTTAGTCAGTTTGGTGTCCTATAGCCCAGAGCATCTCACGCGTTGACTCACCTCGGTAAATGGCCGATCTGACAGGAAGATGAACGGGAATGGCCGCTCCGCCTTGCCATGAGCCGCCAGAACGTACTGGTCGGTCACAAAGGTACCACTAGGACCCGACATGGCGTAAGGCTTGCCGACAGTAATGGCTGTAAAACGTCAGCATCTTGTCAACAGAAACACCTAGGGGGCGGACTGACATTGAATGCGCGCCATGCGATACTCGTCCTGGCCCGTCTTGGAGTCAGGACCAATACTGATGCGCACGTAGCATCCAATCATGGTCGTCTCGAAGCTCGGGTGGAAGCAGTGCTCCGCGAAGCGACTCTTTCCGACGCGGATACGCTCGAAATCCCGAATGTCCGGAGGCGGCAGCTCGCGCGCGACAATCTCGTCCTCCGGCGATCGTGACTTGCGATGCCGGCGGCGCTGGTTCTCTTCGTAATCGCCTCCCTCATCGCTGTCATCCTGGTAGTCGTCGCGCGGCGACCTGAGTCCCTTGCGCTCCTCGCGACGACGTATGCGGTCGACCTTCTCCGCACGCGCGCGACGGAGCGTATCTATCGCTGACGTCTTGCCGTCGGTGCGCGCCCGCGTTGTCGTGCGCGATTCGTCCTCGAGGTCGGCAGCGTCGGCGCTGCGCTTCTTGAGCTTCTGCTTCTTCTCCTCGTTCTCCTGCTTGCTGACAAGCTGGCGCAGCATGCGATTCTGTCTGTGGCGCTCAATCTCGGCCTGTCGCTCTGCGAGCAGTGATTCTCTCTCGACCTCGCGCATGGCCATAACCATCTCCTTTTCGGTGCGACTCTTGAACATGCCATCGACCGGGTACTTATCCTCCTCGTCATCGTCTTGGCCGGCCCTATGCGGCTCGGCCTCGGAATCGGACTCGTCCATGGCGGCGGATCCTATCGAGTTGGGGCTACCGGGTGCTGAAGAGCTGAGGCTCATTGTCAGTGATGCGGATGGCAAGCAGTGCAATGTAGAGCTAGAGTCGCGCGCGCGGTAACGAGGTGCGAGGTGGAGATCCAAGTTGTCGAAGGTGAAGCTTCAAGGTTGGAGAAATCCCCAGGTGTAGAGGTAGGAATGCGCCTAGATGTATTACGAAACGGGAGAAACTTACGCCTCTCCTTCTTCTTCTGAGTCGCCTCCTCCAGAGCGCTTCTTCACCTTTTTCGCTGCAGGCTTTTTGGCAGCCGCCTTGGGCGGTGGTGACGCAGATTGCGCCCTACTCTCCGCCTCAGACATCACCTCCTCCTCTTCCTCGTCGGAGGACTCGCCACCTCCAGCGAGGGCCAAAAGCTCGTCATCAATGTCGGCCATGGCGGATTACGGTTGGGTATTCGAATAGGAGGGAGCTCTTTCAGGCAGCTGCGCCGGGTGAATCAAGTGATTCAAGACCGATCGGTCAGTATACGCAATTGGCTATCAATGCAAAGAAAAATACGATTACTTTGGGTCGCAGAAGAACGTGATTGCTTTGTCGATTGCTGTAGCGAGGTGAATGGTCGGGAGATGGTCGCTGGCGATGGCGTGGTAAGTTGTTAGAATAAGAACTCGAAAGTCTGGCTCCTATTCACAGCCTTGGGCCAGTGTCATTGCGAACGCGTGCCTGATTGGCCCAGATTATGTCATTCCCCTGCACAAGGGTGGAGCAGTCGGAGCATCGGCCTGTGCCCATCCGATCTAGACTCCCTTCAGCCAATCAACGCTCACAAAGGCGTTAGCATCCACAGGGTCTAGTCTTTCGATGTCATTGACATCTTCCATTTGCCTTCGGCCGAGTTTGTGCCCCGAGTGCCTTAGGGGCTTGTTCACCTTTCAAAAATCACACAATGGCTTCAGCTAGTTCGATTTTGAGGCCTTGTTGCGGCATCGCAAGGATTGGAGCCCAAAACGCTTATGCGCCGGGTGTTTGCATCTCGCGCAGACAGCTATCCGTCACTTCCAATGCTCAGGCCGAAGCAACAGGCGGAGGAGCGCAGCCCCGACGAAAGCCCCTGACCCAAGAGCAGCGGGAGTTCTTGTCCTCAGCAGTGAGTTGTGTACCTATATACCAGCTGGGAAAACCTACTGACTTTGTCCAGCTTCGAGTCAACCAAGCCGGAGAATTGGCTGCCACCCGAATCTACACAGCCCAGACCCCACCGATCGTCAATCGACACCCACACCTTCGACCTCTCATGGCACACATGTATGATCAAGAAGAGGGCCACCTCAATACGTTCAACGCCCTCATACACAAGCATCGCGTTCGACCGACTGCGCTGTACCCTCTGTGGCAGCTCATGTCAACTGGGCTGGGCTGGAGCACCGCAGTGATGGGTCGCGAGGCGGCTATGGCATGCACAGAGGCCGTTGAGACGGAGATTGGCGACCACTACAACAACCAGATCAGAACTCTGATTGAGATGGTTACGGAGTGGGAAGCTGAAGGCTACGATGTCGGTCCCGAGTTCACCGAGCTCATCAAGACGCTGCGGCGGATCCGCGATGAAGAACTAGAGCACTTGGACCATGCTGTCGAGCATGACGCCAAGAAGGCAGAGCCGCACTGGTTGCTCACCGGCGCGATTCGGGCGGGTTGCAAAGGCGCCATCTGGGTGAGTGAAAAGGTGTAATAAAGGCTGTAATTTAACAATGTGTACAATACATGTAAAAACAAGGACCGAAGCCATACGAATAGAATCAATACAGTGAAAGTACCCGCGACGCCAAGATGCCCCTCCCTGAATCCGTCCTGTGCATCGATGTATCATATGATGGTTCAGCCGTACAGAGAGGCTTTATCCAGCAGGTCCATGAGACCGTCCTGAACTGTGTGTGACGCCTAGTTGCTGCAATGGATATTAGCACTGGCCACGCGCAGAGATGATTAAGGAAACTTACTAGATTTGGAGTGGCGCGACACCGTCCACCTGGAATCCCCAATTGCCGTTTTGTTCTTCGGTCAGGAGCCAATCGTATGGGAAGTTGACAACATGTCCCTGAATCATGCTGAGCAGTTCCTCTGCTTCGGCCCTCCCGAGCACCTCTTCGGGCGGCATGCCGCGCCGGCTGCCCTTAGTAGTGGCACGTCGGCGGCGTCTAACCGATCCTTGGGCCTGTTGAGCTGGAATGCTCACATCCCTCGAAGGCGGCTTCTCTAGAGGGGAGAAAGTCGTTCTTTTCTCCCTACTCTTCTCTCTTGCTGGTTCCAGCATGTTGGCGTCGGCAGCAGGGCCCGGTTCAAAGGCCGGGAATGGAACGTCCCCAGCAGGAAGAATGGGCGATGGATCATCCAGTGGGCGTCTTGATGATGCCGCCTTTTCAACGTCTGTGTTGAGGTTGAGCCCGCCTCGCGAGCCTGGCTGCTCGCTCTTCTCGTTGAGGTCGTGGTCGTCATCCGCCGGAATGACGATTCTAGGGTGGTTCGAGTGGTTAGTCTTGAGGTGCAGCTTCTCCTCCGTCTTATCAGCCACAGCACTTGCAATTGCGCCGGGGCCTGGCGCGCCCATACCGGCGCCGCCTCCGCTGACAGGTGTTTGGTGACGGTTCAAGTTGGAGTCTCCATCGTCTCCCTTGGTTTGGCCTTCCATGCTCTGTCTGAACCTCTCAGTGTAGGACACAGCCTCTCGGTAGTCGGGCCATGTGAGCACTTCTGAATCGGGCATGCATCTGAAGACGCGGCGGTACAGCTTCGTATTATTCTCAGCGATCCTATTCCAGATGTCGTCAAAGAAGGTTGAGTTGACCGGATCACGCATGCAGTCCTTATCAATGTGTGCTTGCCTGATGTCAGCAGCCAGAGGATGGACTGGCCCATTGGTCGGCTGGCCGTGCTGGTCCAAGTGAACAGGGGGTCCGCCAATATCAGTATCGTCCACAGCAGGCAGCGTGGGAAGCCCAGCCGTGCGAGGCAGTCCGAGTTGGTCCGTAGTTCGTCTGTTGAGAGCTGGTATCGGTGGCAGAGCATCGTTACTGACTCCGCCCTCCTCTTCCACGTGGTGATCAGCCGACGGCTTGCGTTCGTGAGGCTGCATCGGCGATTGCAAAGTGCCTTTTCCTTCAGAATTCACATTGTTGACAAGGACCTCACGGCCGTTGATAATGATAGAGTCTCGTCCTCGATCAAGGCCAAGCTTGGCTGCTTCCTTCCAGTGATCTTTGCCAAAACCGGCGACTTCCAGGTCGTGTGCTTCGTTGCCAGTTACACGGTCGTCACGGTCCTTGCCCTTGTCTGAGGAGGATACTGACGACGCTTCCTCGGCTGCCGCATCCGCCTCTGCGGCATCATGATTGAAGCTTGCAGCCTGTCCATGCATTGCTGGCTTGGTCGGCTTATTGGCTGCCTGTGGTGCACTCGGCCCTGCGACAGGGGGCGACTCCGTGTCTTCATCGTAAATTTGATCCATCTCCGCCTCGTACTCGGCTTGACGGTCCATATCGGCCTGTCTCTCTTCCTCCAGGATCTCGTCCACATCCAAGCCAAGATGCTCTCGCATCAGGCGGAGTCGCAATGTGTGTGCGAACCGACCAACTTGGTAGGGTCTGCCAGCCATTGTTGACCAGATCATATCAGTGTCGCGGACAACGGCAGCAAGCTCGGAATCACGACTTCCAAGCATGGATCGCTCGTTGATGTTGGCGGAACCAATAAGAGCGACACGATCATCTACCACGATACATTTGGCGTGAATGTAAAGTTGCTCAGTGACCAAGGCATTTCTGGGGCCAATCTTGCCCCATTGTCGTAGACTGTAGAATTGGATATACTCTTCAGGTTCGATGCCGGCAGCCCGAAGACGTTCGAAGATTGAAAATTCACCGCGGCAGATACTGCGGTATTGACACTGCAGAATCAGTCGAACACTGGTACCTTCTTGTTCATCGACAGTGTTTTGGAAGCCAGGCATGAGGGGAATGACAATGCATGCCTTCCAATCCTCATCATTCTCGTGAGCTCTGATGATGCGTTCGACAAGCGCATCGCCAATGCGGTTGACAATTTTCGTGTTAAATGCCTCGGTGCTGGTAATGAAGAACTGGTTCTCCATGTAAACGAAATGGTCGGAATCTTCAATCATCTTGACGTAAGCGTTCTGGATACTGCACTCGACATGCTCGATTCCCAGAGACCAGTTGGCGGCAGACCTCAAGATCTGAACTTCGCAGGTGCCCGTCAGTCCAAGGGCGTCGAGCTCATGCATCTTCACGTCGGGAGGTGGCAGCAAGAACGGCAACGGGCGAGTTGTCTTCCTGCCTCTCTTGACGTAGTTCCATCGTTGGACGAAGTGTCTAGTCAAATCTCGGGCTGGCTGACCAACGACCTGCATAGCGATGTCGTGCCACGGCATTCTGGGAACCTTGCTTCTGTCGTACATCTCTTCGTACGGCTCGTCGAGTTTGAAGAAATCCTGGACACGGGGATTCGAATAGTCCTTTCCAGGGAAAAGCTGACAATGCTCAGCATCCTTTGGTTGCTCGCTGTGCTCAAAGCCTGTTGGCTTGTCGTCCGTAATGGGGTGCTGCGGGCAGTCCCAACGGCCGAAGCACAAATCGATGCCGCCAACAAACGCAACATCGTGGTCGACGATACAAAGTTTCTCATGGTGGGCGAAGAAGAATTGGTTTTTCTTGAACTGATTGGGAGATCGCTGAACGAAGATGTTGGGGTGAAGGTTCAGGAGTGAGTACTTGGTATACTCGGAGTCGATCGGAATAGCAGCCTCGACATTGCGATAGACAATGATGAAGATCTTGACACCCTCTCGGGCTTTTCGCTGCAAAAGACGATCCAAACGCCACTTCTGGCTGATAGCTGCAGGTCGACGCATGTAAAGCTCTGGACTGAGCCACCAATCATGAATGTAAATCACGTCTCGGGCCATGCTGATCGCACGAGACACGTTCCACATGTAGTCTCTGCCATCTACAAGCCACTGCGCAAAGACGCCATTCCGGACGGGAGAGAAGCTGTCGAAACGATTCGTGTCATACCACTTAGTTTGCTTAAGCATCTCTGCTATCGAGTCCTCGAACTGCTTCATGATGTGTTGGTTTCTTGAAAACAATTTGACCTTGCGCTCAGCTGTATGCAGTGTCAATGTGTGATGCTTCTCGGCGTCGCCTTCTTCTGCCAGATCGATCTCTTTCTCCTCAGCCTTGGTCTTTCCCTTGGACAACTGTTTTAATGTGCTTCTCTTGGAAACAATGCGAAACTTGGAGTCCACGAGGTACACATCGTAGACGCTCATCTTCTCTGGTGATTCGACGCAGACGATGTAGCTGGAGCGCACGAGGAACCACTTGCGACTATGGCGAGCAATGACCTTCTTTGGTGT